CTATACAAACTTATATTACCATAATAGATAATCTTAGCATACGCTGTATACGTGAATTATTTAAAAGCAATGATACAGTGTAAAAGAATGTATCAAAAAATTTAGCGTAATAAAATAATGAAATATACAAAAAAATGACACATTCAAATTACTTTATCATCGCTAATATAATGTTTTAAAAAATATTTTTAAATGGTATAAAAAACTTCTTTATAAAAAATCATTAGGTTCACAGAATTTTAACACAGACTACAATCAGCAAGATGAGAAAATAGCAAAATAGAATTTTACATGATTCTACAAAACTTTAACTGAGTTAAGGGAAATCTCCGTTTCAAAAAATGTTAAAACAACATCTTGAAAGAAATTCCATCAATATTAATATTTTTCATAAACCACGTTCTAATGATTAATATTCTAATGTCAAAGATAATATCGAAGAATATAATTTATACATTTTAAATAATGTCCATAATACAATCCATAAAAATAGAATGACCACGTTTTTATCATCACTATCATAAAAAAATTCGTTTACAATGTTTATCATCCATCACATACATAGTAGTAATCTTTAACAAAAATTAAATGATTTTACTTATACGACTATTTATAAAAACAATCTGATACTTAAAAGCTAGTAATAAATTCTAGACAAAAAAATAATGATAAAAATTATAATTGTTTTTATATTGTTTATTAATTTCTACTTATTTATAAACGGGTAGAAATTTAAAAACAGATTTAACAACCATAAACAAAATAATAACACAATTTCTTACAGTATAATGTTAAATGAGAATATCGAATTTGTATATAACCATCTATTTATAGACATTTTAAAAACTTTAAATTGTTATCATCCGAACGAACTGTTATCCTACATAATTTTAAATCGTTTAAAAACTTCTTTATAAAAAATCATTAGATTTACAAAATTTTACCACAGAATTCAAAACAGCAAGATGAGAAAATAGCAAAATAGAATTTTACATGACTCTACAAAATTTTAACTGCGTTAAGAGAAATCTCCCTAAGCTTTCTTAAAATTTATTTATTTATTTGACCTGATTTCAAGAACCCGTATCAATATTAATATTTTTCATAAACCACATTCTATTGATTAATATTCTATTAATATTCTATTGATTCTAAGCTTATATTTGCAAATTCTACATTAACCCACAGTATTTTCTCAGTAATAAAACAGATAACGTCATTTTGTTTGTTATGATTCTTGTATTCTGAATTGTTGTTGTTTGTGTTATTTGTAACTAAAGTGATAGATAATAATACGTATCCTTGCTCTTAATTGTTTGTAGAACGAGGTATATTTCGAATTAAATTAAGGATCATATTCTGATTGTAGTTTTTCCACTCCTACCAAAACAACTTTTTCGGCATTTAGGCAATCCTTGCAGCATGCACCATCCTGATTTGTCACAGACATGCCTGTGCCATTCATATCTGGACTGAGTGGTGGTAAATTTGTTAATTTTCACATGACATTGATATTTACTCACTGTGGTTGTTAATCAGCATTATCATGAATGTCATGTTCCTGCATAACCTTAACCTACCAACCACCAAATGCTAGTCGCGCGTACATACAAACTGGGGCATATCCTTCTCCGGGTATTCTCCATATTCTCCAATGACTAATATAATCACCTCTAACGTATTAAACCTGATTTTGCCGCAAAATTGCAATAGCTGCTTATTCTACAAACTGGAGCTCACCAAAAACAGATCATTAGAACAAGAATATTTGTCGTGATTCAGCATTCCTAAGATTTTATTCTGCTATAAAGTCAGACGCATTCTTGCACCTGAATAAGAGTTTCTTGGACATCACGAACAGATTGAGAAAGGTACATTGATACCAGTTATTCTGTCTTTATGAGAGGATAACAAGATATCCTCATTGAAAGAGCACAGTCTTAATTTAATTGGTCCGGGAATTTAGATCAAATTCACGTTTAATGACACCGTATCGTGTTCAGTATCATATTTCACCAAATTCAATAGTGGTAAGTATATTAGCAACTTAAATAATTTATAATTCCAACTGAAAATTGATTGTTGATCAATTCAAGTTTCATCATTTATAAAAAAACACTTGAGTTATTTTTTATCGTAATCACGACGTGTTTGGGCATATTTATAAAATTAAATAAAAACAGGTATGAAATGGTAAACAGGTATTGTATTTAGTACTGATGTTATTTTTAATTTAGTACTGATATATTTAATAAAATACAATTTTAATTATTGCAAATGATATCTAGGTTGTATGTATGTATGGAGGATTGTGAAAGGGTAAGCTAGAAAAATATGACTTTGGTCTTCATGTTCTACTTCTCGCTTTGCTAACTCTATCTAACTACATCAAGAGGCATCTAAAGACCAAGATAGAAACCACTAATCTCTTTGTAGCTAAAGCTTAAGCCATTTAGAATTTACTAGTTAGATGTTCTGTGATTTTTGCCGAAAGATATTTTTAGAATGTCCTTAGAGAGCTAACAGCTTGAACTCTTTTCCCATGTATCTATTAACTTTTAGTGTTACCATAGTTACAGTTTACATCCGTGCATGACTATACCTATCGAAGGACGCTGATAGATAAATTTGTATCAGAGCAGCGAGATCACGTTTATAACATGTCTAATGTGTTAACACCAATCTCTTCACCAGAAGAACTGTACAACCCCATGCAGCAAATCAAACACGGATCTTTAGTTTTAAATCAAGGCCATCATCACGACGTGCCATAATGTCCTTACGAGATGTTGGAGATCCTTGCCATGTTAACTGCTAGATGGTACAAAATACAATGGGATTTTTCATGTGCAAATGAAATTCAGATTGACAAATCAAATACGGGTCCTTTTATATCCAGAAGATAAAAACGTGAAAATAATTGAAATCTGATTGCCAAAAGAGAAGGAAAAGGAATAAAAATGTTAAACGATAGCAAATTACTAAAGATAGCAATATCAAGGCTATAAAGGTCGATGGCCAAACACCAGAAACGTATAATAGACCAAAAAACATCATTGAAATTACAATAGATATGTAGGAAGTTATAGTAGATCTATATATATATATATATATATGTAGGATTTATATATGGGTGAACTTCCTGATTGAATTAGTACGATGTTGGGTTGATTGGTTCTGGAGTTAGGATAGATTGACTTGTTTTGAGGTTGACTAACTTTCAGTATTTACTTTGTGGTTTAATTATTTTGAATCAAATTGCTTTGGAAAAGGATTACTTCGTGGATAATTTAGTTCGTGATTGACCTGACTTGCTATAGAGTTGGATTGGGTTGTTTCGCTTAATTATACGAAGCTATTGAAGGAATTACTAAACAATGCCAGATCAAATTTCGATTAACGATGAGATAATTATTGGTAGAAAATGTTAACGTCCACAAGTAAGTATTGCAATTAGAAGAATACAACATAATCTAATTGAAAATTGAAGATGAAAAATAATGGTGGAAACTGGAAACTAAGCAAGCCTGCATCTAATGCGAAATATATCAAATAGAAAACTTTTTCCATTATCAGTGAAAAGAACAGTATTAAATGCTTGGTTGATTTGGATGACCTCAACTTATATTTCCATGAGTATGAGAACGCTATGAGGAAAACCTTGGAGTAGTTGAAAAATACTCTACCAACATCGAAATAGTCTTTAGTAAATCTAGGCCTATCCATCTTTGAACGATTCGAATCGCGAGCATTCGAGTATGATTTCTAGCTATCTAGCGATGAAGTAAGATAGTTCCTTTGGGATGAGGTTAAGTTTGCGGTTGTGTTAGCTTGCTTTTGAATTGAATTATATTGCTTAGGGTTAGATTTGTTACTTTGGGTACTCAAGACCATAGAAACTCAAGCCAACCACGTATCAACATTAAATTAAGATAAGTTGGGTTGGCTTACTTTGTGGTTGCTTTGCTATCGGGTTGGGACGATTTGGGTTAAATTGGCGTTCTTTAAAGATGGGTTATTTTGAAGTTGGGTTGATTTGTAATTTAATTATCTTGTGATTCAGTTGGTGTGGAGTTTGATTGGTTTAGTTAGTGATACTTGAGAATAGTGTATAGTAATTGAGAATAGAGAATGAGGTGAATAGCTGGTCAAAGTGGCTTTGGAAAGAATTAATCTTGTCTTGTCCTTGCTTACCAGACTTGGGAACAAAATGATCACTTTTGCTATCGTCTCAATCTATATAATAGCTGCAAGCATTGTAACAGAGTTCCAGTATCATTTTATTCACTGCTTCTCGCAGATCAATTTATCTAGCAAAAAATTTTCTAGTACTTGTACATCATTGTTATCTCTTCTTGAAATATAATCATTTATCGTGCTTATTTAAAAATATTAGTTATTGTTGTTCAAACTTCTTTAATTAAATAAATAATACTGCTTGATGAAAAAACTTCAAAAAGTAGCTCATGAGCGAAGAAAGAAATTGAACAAATAGCACTTATTTAAACCGTCGAAAACAGATTCCAATTTAGAGTAGTGATGATGACGATTCTATTTGAAGATTGTGGTGAAGAACGCGAAGACAGAATAATCGAGGAGAATCTAGAAACTCTGTAAATAATAAAAGTAAACTTAGAGAGAGAAATAATATTTTATATCTTTTCCAAAACTTATTTTATTACAATTTTCCAAGAAATGCGATTTGCAAAAACCAAATAAAAATGTCAACAAAATTACTCATCAAATATGGAACTCATCAGAAAATTCCAAGAAAATATCCATTAACATAACACTTATCACCTTCGAAATGTCTTAACTAAAACTCTCCAATTCAATTATATTTAAGTTAATAAAAGTGATACTTATAGTTTTGTTATCCAACCAATTAAAAACCATCCAAACTCCGGAGTGGTTTTATTATGCGTTGTCCCTACGGAGGTATGGTACAACGTATATAAAAGAATACCATTCCCTCTCCACTTCATTTATGTATGGAGTCTCGCACCTTTACAGGTGTCTCGTTCATTGTAACTCCGACAATCGGTAAACTGGGAACTATTTAGCTTCCACTTAATCTTGAAATAAAAAATTTTAAAAAAAAATAATTATCTCAAAAGTGAGTTTTGTGAGTGGACATAATTTTTTTTTACTTCCGATAAAAATCAGTAAGTACTTAATAACGTTTTCGAATCGATACATTGTTTCAAATTAATCATAAATTGAATTTTTTAAATAACTGTTTAATTAATGTCGCAATAATTTAAGTAACAATTTTATTAAATTTCCAAAAAAAATCTTTAGTTAAATATTTTCGATTTAAAACCCGCTAGAACTGTTGCTTTTTTACATTAACACAATTTAAGGTGAAGTTGTTAATAAAAAGGTTGATCACAAATAAATACATAACAATAAAATTTGTTGATGTATTTTGGCGAATAATAGAAAACGACATTCACCTTTGCTAATTTATATTTATACATATTTATACACATTTTCATTAACAATGAACTTTTAGACGTCATTGACCATAGAAAATAACTCGATAATTGTTACATCAAAAATTAATTCTATCAAGAATCAAGATTATTAAAGTTGCAACATTTTCATAGGAAAGATAAGAATCCTTAATCCTTAAAATCTATATTTCTAAATCAAAGTACAAAAAAACTTTACGTTGCTAACTTACACTAATCATTATTTACTTTTTTGATTTTAATGGTTCTCCAAAACTAAATATTGATTTAAAAACTCGTATTTTTAGACCATGGCAACAGCAATTGAAAAAGAATTGAAACATTTCCTTTTAAAAGCCGAACATATCCACGATGATGAAGAAAACGAATCTCCTGTAGTTGCAAAAGTGGTCGCAATGATTGTTTTATTTATAGCATCTTTAACGTTAGGTCTTCTACCGATGCAACTATCCCGTTGGCTAAAATGGAAAAATAATCCTCAAAGCAACATTTACGTCAATTTACTTTTATGTTTTGGCGGAGGAGTTCTTCTTTGCACAACGTTCCTTCACTTACAACCTGAAGTTGGTGAAGGAATTTCCGAATTACAAGCAGCCGGAAGTTTACCCGAATTCCGTTTTCATTTCGCCGAAGTGTTAATGTTAATCGGTTTTTTCACAATGTATTTAGTTGAAGAGATGGTTCATACTTATTTGAATGCTAAAAATAAAAAATGCGAAATGAGAGCGTTATCAAGGACTCATTCGATTAGAAGAGGAATTAAAAATGAATCAACAAGTTTATCTACAAGCGAATTAGTGAAAAAAATGGAAGAAGCTTCAAAAGAAGATCATCGTGATTTTACGCACGATCATAGCCACGTTGGACATAGTCATGTTATCATTGAAGATGGAGTTGTTAGAAGTATAAGAGGACTTTTAGTGGTACTAGCGTTGTCAATACATGAATTATTCGAAGGATTAGCTGTTGGTTTAGAATCATCACCTTCGTCAGTTTGGTATATGTTGGGCGCAGTTAGCGCCCACAAATTGGTGATCGCCTTCTGTATAGGAGTCGAATTAATCACCATTGACACAAAAAAAGCTTTAGCTGTGATATATGTATTTACTTTCGCTATCGTTAGCCCACTGGGTATAGGAATAGGAATTCTGGTTAGTGATGGAGAAACGGCCGCTGTACCATCTGTGATATTGCAAGGTCTTGCATCTGGAACACTTCTCTATATTGTTTTCTTCGAAATAATCCAACGGGATAAATCTGGTGGACTGAAACAATTCTTTGCTATTTTAATTGGTTTTTGTGTCATGTTCACCTTAACTGTTTTAAGTAAGTAACTTTTTTTTATTATTTCTTTATTATTGATTATATTTTTGCTTTATGATTTTAAGATTTAATTTTAAGATTAACTTTTTTTTAAATTTATCTGAGGAATGTAATCTTTAAAACAATTCAATCATTTTAAAATTCTTAATCTCAAAAAGTAAAAGTAATTAATTAAACTTTCTTTATTTCAATGGAAGATATATTATGAATGGTAGGAAAATAATTTAAAAATCGAAAATAAAGAGTAGCATTTTATCTCATCGGATTTCGTTCTTGAGATATTCCACTTTAAATTCATAAATGTGGATGTTTTTTGTTAAAACTAAGATTTTCAATGCTAATATCTCAATAACAAAGATTGATACGAAAAAATGTTATTCTTCTTTTTCGATTTAAAAATCATTTTTCTACATAAACCACTATAAGTTCTTTCTTTTGAGATGATTGATAATAAGCTGCATCCGAAAAAGCGAATAAAAACGTTAGCTTTACGAGGATAACTTTTATTTATTCATCTCCTAATTAATTGAGATGATTTATTCTGTATTTTTAAGCTCTTTTTCTGGTACAAAAATGAATTTAAAATCGAAAATAAAGAGTGGGTTTTTGCATTGTTCGCTTTGGTTTTTGAGATATTCGCTTTTAAATCCATCAATGTTGGCATTTCGTGCAAAAATTAAGGTAATCAATGCAAATATCTCAAAAACGAAGATTGATACGAAAAAATATTATTCTTCTTTTTCGATTTAAAAATCATTTTTCTATGCGACCAACTAAACCATTTCTCTTTAAAGATGATTGATAAGAAACACCATCTGAAAAAGCGAATAAAAATATTGACTTTACGAGGTTAACTTTCTTTATTCATTTTCTAATTCGTTGAGATGATTTTTTCAGAACCTTTAAAACTTTTTTCTGGTAGACTAATAATGTTAAAATCGAAAATAATCAGTAATTCTTTATCCCATCGGCTTTCATTCTTAAGATATTCGGTTTGAAATCAAAGTTACAAACAAATCCTTAGTTACAGCTACTTGAATGTTACAATTAAAAATGAATCAATTTTATTCCCCATTATTGATTTTTGCATCATAGAATTAGAAAATCGTTTGTGGTATTCTACACACGCAGCAAATTTCAGAACTCTAAATAAAGATTTAATCGATACGTTCTGCTTGAGTTAACTTGTCAGATTTTGCCAACTTTAAATATTTGCAATTCAGTATTTATAGAATGTATTGGACAACGTTTTAGATCATTTCACTCATAGTTATTGATTTTACTTTGGAATTTTTGGAAGTCGTTGATGGACTAAAACGAACGAAGTTTACTACTAACAAGCAGACTTAAATTCTAAGCAGACATTACCTAATAGTAAGTAGATTAACGATTCCTAACGATCTTTTGGATATTTTGGCATCGAATATTTTTATTGATTTTGGACACTTTGTTCTGCCATTTCGTAGTAAATAGAATGAGTGATTTCTCACAATAGGATTAGAGTGCCATCTATTCGATGAGTTTAAAAATTTATTGCAACACTCCCACTTGTTCCACAGATTTTTTATGGTTTTCTAAAAATATCAACAATATTTTCATTGATACATATCTGATATCTGTTACCAGATATCTGATATCAAAAACACCTTTCTTTTGTAGTTCTTTTTTATAAAATTATATTTAATGTTATGCTTTGTTGTCGATATTTTCATTATTTATCTACAACACTATAAAGAATATCATATCTTTCTAACTAAAACATATTGATTAGAGAAACAACATTGGCTTGTGTGTCGCAACTACAAGCTAAATATTTGCTTAGACCCGACGCACAAACTCGCATGAACAATATCATGGACATGTGCAGAAGAAAACATTATGCGCGGAAGGAATTATCATGGTCATTTATGATCGAAAACATCAGAAAGATTCCAAAATATGCTGTGCAAAAGATAATCATGAGGTGCAGAAACAAAAAATCACTTGTATGATGTCTTGGTTCAACATGATTCATAAAGTACCACACTAAATTTGGTCTCACAAAAACTATAATAAGCAAACTCCAAATAAACGGTACTTAATAGAACAACAAAAAGTATAAACATTACAATACTCTTTATAATACATTTCCATGAATTCCCTTTGTTCTGATTCTTTCACATTTCTAAAATATATCTCAATTTCAAAATTGTTTGAATTCAAAAATTGATATCCCAAAAATTTTTAGATATTTTCAATAGCTGCCTTTTTCATTTTAAAGATTCCGATTTTATTTATAAAAGTTGATAATTTCATAATCTGCACCAGATTCGCCATCAGTCTTCTCTATTTATATTCTCTGATAGAGTGTTGTGGGAGTGATAAACAGATGTTTTATGGGATTGAATGATATTTTTTTGGCAACTTTAGTATAGAGGGGTTCGTTATAGTATAGAGGGACTCGTGTATTAGTTTTTAGCGCCGCATTTTCTGCACTTCTTGATGATACTTAGATCCTCTTGGCGTGTCATGAAGGATAATTTTGAAGGATACGTATTTGACAGCACACTCACTTGATAATCCGCGACCTCTGAATGCTAGGGATCTAAAGTGCTTGACCCAGTTACTCCCAGATATTTTCAAATTGATGTGAGAGAAATTATGGACGATTGGATCAGTATTTCTGAAGAAGAAGCATGATTTGAGACTAAAGGAACAAAAAGCTGAGTTTATAATGGGTTGACTTGTATACGCCATTTCTGAAACCAGACTTCCGTAGCAGTATAGATGTTCGTATCATGCGACACTAAGGTTGTGTCGTCGACGTAGAGTAATGCATGCGTGTCCAGGTTAAATACATATGCCTTATCGTTATATATGTTACAGTTAAAGCATTCATTCCGTGAATGTACACATTGTCTACTCAATGCATACAATAATTTAATTTATCTAGTTAATGTATATATAAAATACGAAATGTAAACTTTTACTAGTTGATGTATACAATTGCTAATCACGCAAACTTAAAGCTTAAAGCACGTTTACTAGTATATTACATAACGAAATCCAACCCAACCCAACCCAACTCAACCCAACCCACCTCAACCCAACCCAACCCAAAAAATGCTTACTACTATAGTTACTTACTTACTTACTACTTGCATCACATGGAATCCCGTCCATTTCAAAAATTATACCGTAAATTTTCTTTGTTATAACTTTTACTAACATATGTTAGAAAATGCATACACTGCCTAGTTTATGTATGTACACATTCACTAGTAAATGTATACACCCTATGACTGATAAATACTTTTACTAAAACGTTACGTTAATGCATAGTGTGTACATACATTAGCCAGTCAATGTTAATGATGATTATTATGAATGATGATTAATGATGATTAATTGAAATGCACGCTTTACCTGTGACATATATATCATGGCAGAAGATGTTGTATAAAGAAGGTGAAATTGGAGATCTTTGTGGAAAGTTTTGTTATAGGGAGAAGCTGCGGGAGTAGAGGTTGTTCAGTTTTACGAGTAAAGAAGGTTTTGAAAAGAATTGTTTAATTAAGTTGTAGCTTGCTACGTTGGATAGAGGCAGGATTTCCAATCTTGTGGGAAATATTGGCTTGCTTAAGAAATCAATTTTTTACGACCTTTTTTAGTACGATCATTCAATAAATTTCGTTACTAAAATATATTTGTTGCAAAGTTGGGTTGAATTTAGGAAATCTTTATTAAATTATCGCATCATGGTATCTCAACTTGTTCCTAGGATACAATCTTTTGTCAATACACTAAGGGTTAATGCACTTATTTATTAAAAAGTCCCACATTGTTCATAAAGCCAATTTGTTAAATATGTTAATTGAAGTAATTCTGATTTGGGTTGTATTAAATATATTTTCGTAAACAACTCCACTACTTTTTATTGGGCACAATTTACATTTTTAATTTAATTTCTTTTTCATGTTATTGTTTTGAAAAATACGATACGTTACATAACAAGTCTTATTTAGTATACCAAATTTTTTTTCTATTACTCATTGGAATGTTTTATTGACCATAAAAAAAAATTTAAATTTATAACAAGGTCAAAATAAATTTAATTCATAATAAATTTCTATACTTATCAAGATGCAAAACACATTGTTTGGTGTGAACGAACTGTATCTCTCCGAGTCTGGCAAGAAATATCGCAAGACAAACAATCTTTGCGGCAGTTCGACCAACGCTAACTAAACTCCGCGCGGGCTTAAATTAACTAAACCGTCATCGTCTGATTGAAATTTATGCTCAACCCAACGCTAAAAAGCGAGATTAACACATTAATGAATCGAATTAGGCACCTACTATTCATCGGGATGAACAATGGGTGCCATCAAATTAGGTTACCACCAGAGAACAAATTGCGAATTGCCCGTTTCCTTTTTAATACCCTTCAGAAATAATATTCTCTAAACTTACAGCACACGTGCTGTATTTCACTTGTCTTTATTCCTCATTATCTCATCAAGGTTTCAAAATAAACATTGCATACGCACAAAACACGTTTAGAAACGACATCTTTTATTTATTTTTTTTGTTTCTTCAATATTTTACACATTTTTTTATTCCCAAAGAATTTATTGTAGATAGATTTTGATTACGTGTTTTGAAAATTAAATAAGCTCGGGTTATCGACTCAGATTGTTGAAGTGGACTTGGTTATAATTTGAATAAAATTGGAGACGTCATTATAATCCTTTCTAAATTCCAAATGTATAGCGCAATACTTTAATACGGGAAAGAGATCGAGTCGTGTTCTATCTTGTGATGTCGCAAGATCTAAGAAATGCAACTTTATTTAGCCGAGTTCTAGGGAATTGAAAATTTTTCTTAAGGCTATTTCTCGTTTTAAATGACTATCGATGAAACGTGTAATGATGTAGTTGAAAGACACAGCACGTTGTTGGTTGAGTTGTTTTAACGTTCGAAAGTGCTTTAGAAATTTTCTTTCTTTAATTCTATATGGTAATGGTACCTAATTTAGAAACTAATTGGGTGTTAAGGAAAAGAAAACTAATTTTCTATTTTTTTTATTCTAGCTGCTCACTCTCATAGTCACGGTGAACATGATCACCACGATCACGAAGACCATGTACATTAAAGAAATGGAAATATGAGGTTTTTATGGAAAAGAAGAAAATGTTTTTCTACTGCAAGAAACTTGTTGAAAAAATGTTTTAAGATATTTTTGTTTTAAGTGTTCGTTAGCTTATTGTGATGTAATTATAAAAATTAATATATAAAAATTAAATACGTGATATAATAATGATGTAAATACTAAGTTTTAATAATATTTATCTTTATTCTAAGAGTTTTTGTTTTCTTATTTTGTAAATAAAAGTATTTAAACTTAATTTCTTTCTATAATTTCTAAAATAATGAAAACTGCATCAACTTTTTAGTGAAAGAAAATTGTAAGCAATTTAAGCACTAATTAACATCATCAAGATATACAAATAAAATAAATTAATTCAATTCATTTATGACTTTCTATATTTCACAAGATGATTTGAACGATTTGCAATGCTGAAAAGACACAATCTCTTCGGAGACAGGTGTTGTTGCGATTTTGTAAACCGTAAAGTAACAAAGAAACGTTGCTGCGCTCCAGTAACGCAATAAATGCATTAAAACCGACTCATATGTAGGTCAGTTACGTTAAACTCGGTTATACCGTTGTATTTTAAAAGTCATAATGACCCTCCTTAAAAAGGAATCCGTTTAAAAAACATTCGAATTGAAAAATAATAAAGACGTGAAAGAAACATTCAACAATATTTCTCTTTCAGCTCTGTATCCATACGCTATCCATTGTGAGTTGGTTTATCTTTGGATTTGAATTGAAATCGATTTCTGAGTGTAAAAGGGAAGCAAAGCGAATGTGTTATCAATGGGTTTTCGAAAACAATAGGAGAAAAGGATCTATTGTTTACATTTGACGTTATTGTGTTTTATTTCGGTATGGATATACGAAAATAGATCGATTTAACCAATTTTTTCTGTAATTGCAATCCTTTCAAAGTGATATTTTGTAATGATATTTTCTATTTACAAATTCTCATTCAATGGGATCTGACACATATTAAAACTTTTAAACCTTAAGTTTATTTATCATCTTGAGGAATTTAATCCTTTTGGCCAGGTACCGTTTCTGTTTGGGAGAGGTGACCTTTCTCTTGTTATGCAAAAATTTACATAACTTAAAAAAATTCCATACTAAATTCAGTAATGAATATATTGAAATGTTGCCATTATACAATCGTAAAGTGTATCCAAATTCAGGATACACATCATTTTAAACATAACGCGAAAGCGAGACAAAAAATTAAAGGTGCAATAATAAAGAAATTAAATAAGGTAACTCAAAATTACCAAATGTTATTATATACGCGTAACAAGTTATTCATCGGAGAATTTAAACCAAGATTTGAGAGTGCTCTAGAAAGAACGTATGTGAAGCTTGAATTGGTTGTAATTTTCGGAACTACCAAGTTCTGTTCATGCAGGATCTCTGGAGAAGAATTCCAACCTGATAGAATCTCGTCATAACCAAAAATCCTAGTAGAGGATGATAACCAAATGAAGAGAGTGAAAGCGTTTAATGAAGCTTCTGTGTATGTTTTTGATTATTGTGGTGTAAGTGATTTGCGAAGGAGATCATATAACAAAGCAATACTCTAGTTGAAGCGTGCTAGAGGTCTTATTCGAATCATCTGGAGCATGACGAGGCTGCTGTAGTTACTAGAACTAGAGATTTAAAAAAAAGTTAATATACAATTCTAAGTTATAAACTACAAAAATTCAAATATTCATCCTTTCACTGCTGTGCTAATTCTGGAAGAGCCCTGATAGACAAGAAATACACTAGAAATCTCTAGTTCTAGAGAAAAAAATTCTATATTATGCGGCCAACTAGAAGCATCTAAAGCTTAAGTTAGAACTTTGTTTCTGGAAATAATACCTCAAATCTGGGGATGTCCATGTTCCACATAAATCCAAAAAGTGTTTGCCTTAGACAACATTAATCGTTGATTATTATTAACTTCTAACTCAAAACCTCAAATATTCTAATATTGAATATCTTATTAACAAAATCATTTATTACTTTGAAATAAATATCGATAAACTTTCAGTTTTATAGAAGACAATGTTTACAAAACTAAAATGTCAAAGCTTTCAAAGTAACTGTTATTAATATCAAAGTGTCGCATACCTTAACACTTAAAACCGATGTAGAAGAGATTCATGCAGGAAATATGTTCCACATAAATTCAATAAATGTTTGCCATAGACGATATTAATCTATTGTTGTTAATAAAATAAATTGGACGTTTACTGTTAAAGATCAGATACATTCAAATACGCGGGAAGCATACAAAAGGTCATAGTCGAATTGTCTAGAAGTTTAGAGTAGTCCCATGTTTCTAACTATTCAAAATAAATTCGCTGTTGACTATTGAAAATTAGGTAAATTCTAGTGATGGGAATACCGCTCATAATCGTGTCGCGATCCAGGAACGGTCGCTACACAAAAATACCGTTCCAAAATACCGTTACCTTGAGCAAAAACATAGCTGGTAAAGCTGGAAAAAAATTATATATTTCCTACCCCTAATTATCATAATTTTAAAAAATTACACGCTATCCGAAAATTGAAAAAAGAAGATATTAAGGGAGCCTTAAACAAATATCAATATAACGGAGTTTAACCTGACTGTCTTATATAACGTTATAATATAACGTTCGGAATCGGGTATTTTAAAAATCGCGCCGGAATAGTATGTTCCATTAGAATAATGCTCCAAAATATCGTTCCTCAAATACCGAACCATCACTACAAATATGTAATATTAATAACGTTCTGTAACGGGTATTTTAAAATCGCGTGGAAGCAGTACGCTCCTCAAAAATACCGTTCCTCAAATACCGTCCCATCACTAGTAAATTCAAAAATTCACCCCTATGGCAAATTTGGAGATGTTAATATGCAGATAGTATAGTAGAGGAGCTACTCGAAATATCTGTAGTAGTTCCTGGGTCTCTGGTTCTGGAGATAATAAATTAAAGTAAGTATATAATCAAACCCCAACCCAATCCAAATAATAAAAATCAAATATTATAATACAGTACCTGATACACGTGATATAGCAAAGGTATGAAGGAAAATCCACACAAACGAGCATGTGAGAATCCATCAAACACAAGACGAGTGAAGTCTACAAAAGAGTCAGAAATATTAAGATTTGAAATAGAAAGAGAATAGCTGGGGTACCTGCCCAGATCAAAGCCATGGGAGCACTACAAAATGCTCAAATATGTGTTGCACAAGACAATAGCCAACTGAATGATGCGAACGATTGATTATACCAATTCATAAACAAGGTTCTCCAACAACTAAAGAGAGCATGCAGCAAAAGGGCTACATTCTGTCGCCTCTTCTATACAACATATATAGCGAAATTGTCAAGACGGAACCGGGGCGACTTGGTTGTTAGGAAAAAGTTTAGTAATTTGAAGTACGTAAATGACACACTGATAATCGCAGCAAGCGAGGAAGAACTAATGTAAATATGGCAAAGTTAAATGACCACAGCGCACTAGTATATATTAGGAATGTTGCGATCTATGAGGTACTTGATCAGTTCGTGTACCTAGGTGCTCTTATGACTAACCCCGGTGGTTAGCTTCCCATAACGAAAATTTTGAAACATCGAGCTATTACTAGAAATACCATGGTGTTGGTTGCTAAGTCATTAATATTTCCAATCGCTACCTACGCATCAGAAATATAGACATTAAACTAGGAGGTCCAATTGAAGCTTTTCAGATGTGGATCTACAGGCTTTTACTCGGAGTCTCATAGACGGAGAACAGAACGCGAACGAACTAAAGATAAAAGATGATCTTGTTGATCAAGCTGATTAATAGATCGTATCTTAGCTGTGTTGGACATCTTGCGAGGTAAACCAGACAGATGGAAAATCCTGTTATAGAAGGAAAAATAGAGGGCAAAAGAGCATGGGTAAGATCACCGATAATATGGGCAGAGAGGCTGAGGGAACTGACAGGATATTCGATGCACCAGGCTGTATAGATGGTGCAAAACCGAGAGGAATGGAGAAGAACAGTAGACACCTAATATCACCAAAACCTTATCAAGGGTACAAGGACTGAGGAGGAGGAAGCTAATGAGTTGCAGTTTTTAATTCTTAAGAAAATAAATTCTACGTTTTCTATTAAAAATCACGTCAATTCAAAATTAATCTTTCCACTTCTGCGGCAAAGCTAAAGTTATGAATAGGCAGGGAATATACTAAAAGGCTACTCGAATTTTCCAGAGAATTTCAGGTTGCTACACTTATTGGAGATTCAGAAAATAACTACTCAATTAATATGTTAACTACTTATCATTTTCAATATATGATTGCCAATATATTTCAACTTAAAATTATGCATCACTTTGATATCTAGCAAACAAATAAAACAATTTTTGATATTCTATACAACAGTGGAATTGATATTCATTCCTGACATAATCGAAAGTGATCATGGGGCATTCTCTAAGAAAGAATGTTTTTGGCTGGGACGTATCAATTATCAGATTAGCTGTTATTTCGAATAAGACAATTACACTGTCGAACATCTGTGAGATACTCTATAGAAACAATAATTTACGTTAATAAAAATCACACTCATGTTCGATTTAAAAAAAAACATAAAAAAAGTTATATGCCCTTGTAAATTATTGCGAAACATACAAGGTACTCGAAAGAGAACATAATGTCAACATTAAAAAACAAGCGCAACAATCGATTTTTTCTCTCATGTTACGTAACAACCGTATCGTGGTAAAACCGACACCGAGACTTGCGGGTTTCGATTTTTGTTGCAAAGCCGAGAGTTTCGTGAAAGGGCAAACCGAAACCAAAATTTACCGAATCGATGACGATTTTAATTAGGTCAAAGTCGAAGAAGTTAACGTGACGTTAATGTTGCAGTTTATAGCCAATTCCAAGTTTTTAATGGTCAATGACAATATTATTTTTAACAAAAGAAATTGTTTTATAATTAATAAAGTAATATATTAAAATTGCTGGCAAATTTCATTTACTTTAAAAGAAATTCTTAAAGAATAGGTACTTATAGTTTTCAATGACTCATAATGTGTCATAATGCAGAAATAATTAAATTGTAATTAACAAAAAAAAGCAGTATTTTAAATAATGAAATAGAAACTAAAATGACATATAATTAATTTTAACTTGTTGTACTCTTTACCTATATTTAAATTTCTAAACAAGTTTAAGTTTCTATAAATGGGTTTCTATTTGGATAATAATTGGCAATTGATAACAGTTGCGTGTACTTTGGCTAAAGGAAGTTGATTTCGTTTAGTTGCAAAAGATTAATTTTCAAAATTTATTATTCTTTGTAAAAAAGTAGAAAACAAATTTTCTTATTAAAGGCAATTAGGTGTGAACACAATGAAAAGCGGAAATTATCTAAGATGATACTTCCTTCAATCAAATTTGTTGACAACGTAATCTAGAAAAAAACAAAAATACATAAATATACGCAACAAATTCAAAATTCATTAATTTTTACGACTCTAATAATCCATTTGTATTAGGTAAATAAAAATGCCATAAAATGTTAACACTTCATTAAAGAAACCTAAATAAATTCCTTAACACGTTTCATAACGAAAATTTGTCTATATAAAGTAATATTTATGACTTCACTTCACCAATAATAATCCCAATTTTGCCATTAATTCATTAACTTTCAATTCAATCTTAAAATCTATCCAAATTACAAAATTCTCTCTCGATTCTCTCCCCGTTCTTTCTGACATCAAACTCAGTTTGTAATAGTGTTCCGGAGGCGCAGACTGAGTTTGTTAACTGTAGCGGGACGATCGAGGTTTCTGTGTGTGTCTGTGTTCGATAATACAAAGATTTATTCATATAATGTAGTCAAATTGGTGAAGGTGTGCGGTTTTGTGGTTTTGGTTCATTTAAGATTTTTTTATTAATATAATTTGTTATGTCAATGGGATTTTTCATGACACGAAAAAGCAAGAATTTTCTGGTAAGAATTTTTTAATAAAGAATGTTTTATCAGTAAATCATTTTAATAACAAAATTGGGTAAACCTAAAAGTATTAATGCAAATATTTATAAAAGAAGAAGCGCGTGATCCGCGTTGTTTGGTTTTCATGTAAAATTTCGTAAATTAATATCACTTTTAGTAATCGACGCGTGGAGATAAATATTTTTTTAAAAATCCATACACGCTTTTATTTATTTATTGTTTTAATGTAAATCAGTAATAAATAAGTTAGCATCAAATTACTTTCTTAGGAAACGTTTAATCGTTATAGAAAACGTTACATGCATACATCCTGTTAAATAATTACACATTGCAAACAAAGCATACATAATTTAAAGCAGACGATCCGTTCTGATGGCTTTAAAACAGTATTTCACTTTCACGAAAAAATTCTTTTTTATTCCATCTTTCTTCATCCAATTTGTTACGCAACCCAAAAAAAAAGAAAACTTAAAAGTACTCTCTTTTTTAATACCGGATATTTCAAAATGTATTAAGTTTCACGAAGAAGAAAATTAATTTCACAACTTAATCAATAATAATGCTCAAAATAAACAAATTTGGAACTATTTTATGGAAGGCATCTTAGGTTCTTAATACAACAACTACGTATAACAAATAATAAAGTATTGTTCAGTTTATGGCACAACTCTCTTTATTAAAGACCATGTACCGTTTTCTATTAACACATAATTTTCTTCGAGAAGTTTCTCAATTAGATTGTTATAAGAGGAACATAACAGAGAGTTGTGAACATAGTAATTTTATGGCTTATTATTGATGTTGGGAGCAAATGATTTAATTTTGCAATTTTGTTTTTTCATTTTATTTCTGAAACAGTTATCAATAATATTTAATAATGTTTAAATGATTCGATGACAACTTTAACCAAATTCAAGTAAGAAACATCTATGTGGAATCCACATACCTTAAAATCGATCTACAGTTAGTACATCACTAATACATCGACCTACAACATCACTACCTACTTTTGTGGTTTTATCTCTCCTCTTTTAAATTTCTTTACGTTATCATTCAGTTCCAATCGTACAACTGTAGCTTGACCTGAATGAAAAGTTGAAATTGAAACCGTCATCAAATTCAAGTATGCATAGAATAGTAGCAAAAGGAATTCGTGTAGGTAAAATTTCTACTCTCTGCCTTAAGAATTGAGTTGGGTTGTATCTGGAGAACCTAAATCTACAAGGTAATAGATGATATCAACAATGAACTCCGAGGAAAATTATAGGTTCTAACAAAATGTAATAAAATCGTCATTATAAATACGCACATCAGATCAATCAGAAGTATGAGAATTATGTTAGAGACAATATTTGTTTACTACAATGTTGATACCACCTGAAGTTTTGTACACTACTTCCTCGTGATAGATTATCAATCATAGAATCTAACATATTACAATTGAAACTGACTGGTAGTGTTTGTATATTAGACACTCATTGCACAAAATTTAGAGGGATAGTATTAATCGCTCAACTAATTTGTATTTCAAGAAATTGTATTACGAAAATTACATTCTAAATTTTAATTTAATCATCTCTGCTGACCACAACATCTGTTTCTTAGAGAAATCTAAAGCAGTGAAAGTCTTTTAGAACATGTTACCAGTTCTGGAATGAGATATGTATTTGACATGGCATTAAGAGCATTAAAAATATACAATAAGTGAGTACATAATCTTGCTAGAAATGTAAATTTTGATAGAATAAGTGATAATACCCGGCAACTACTGGAAATAGCGGAGGAAGAACCATCCTCAATTGTTATTGTAATGCATATTAAACAAAAAGAAGATGCAACGAAAATAAATTTAGTAAGCTTTGGAAGATGTAGGCTGAAATCATATCATAAAGCAAAACGATGCAGATACTCTTATTAAAACGTTCAGCAATAAATCATTAAGACTATACAACAATAATTTCCCAGAATCAAATCAGAAAATAATACAAAGTAATCATCAAGTACAACCAAAATATTGGTTTTATGATGGAATCAATAAAAGCCCATATGGCATCAACAATCATTACAGGAAAATTGTATGAAATGTGTGTACAGTGTATATTTTTGGGAAATTTGTACATATTGAAATCGGAGGTTTTTATGGGTGGAGGAAACTTCATCAAGAGTAATACAATTACTACATCAAGGTATCTAAAGCCGACGTGGACATTGGACTTAATAGTTACTGAATTATTAAATAATTAATATTTGTTTAAAAGTCGATATGTCAAATTCGTGTCTTAGTTATTATTTCTTACTGTCGTGATACAGCCATAGATCCATTTGAATGTAGCTAATTCAATCTAATCACAATTAAGTGTGCTGTTGACATTAGCAAAATTAGAAACAGGTAAACCACTTGGTGCACCATGATCATTTAGAAGAAAACCATCAGTTATGTGGTAGTGTGAACGTAAAACATTTCCTAATTACTCCAAACTATCCTGTTTTAAATTTAGTTGATCAGATTCTAATCTTTTCCACAACGTCAGTAGGATTATATCTGGTCCGATATTGCTCTTTTTGTCGTCCATAATATATTTCCAAATTATAAATGTAGCAAATTTTGCCAATCACTATAGCAAAAAAATTTATTCCTTAAACCGAACGAATAGTTTTAGAGTTTCTTTAGTTTTAGAATTTCGTGTTGTAAGAAGCTACATGTAAAAAGAAGCTTGTAACATCATCTCGTTCATGCAGTTGTGATCTTTCTATTCTTGGTTAAGCTTAGTTAAGAATAAGATATAGTGACGGTTATGTCACAAGAAATTCTGCTGCACTTTCCTGGGCATGTTTATAGCGAGTTTTTAGTAAAGCCGAAAAATCACTCAAGAAAGAAGCAAACATTTTTGCTAAAAAAGATTACATTTAAAGTAATCAGCAACTTGGACAAGTAAAAATTCTAGAATATGATTGGTATAATATCAAAAATATAAGTAATAAGAATAGGATTTGTTATACCGTGCATAATCGGTAAATATGCACATTTACCGGGAAATTTCTACTTACTCAGAGAGATAAAAGTGAATATATATGTCATAGAAGGTTAACATCTTTATCTAAACCCTAAAGATATCCAACGCTGATATTTGATTAATAATTATTCAATTACTAATTAATTAATGTTTGTTTCAAATCTGTATTCACTTTTACCGGTAAATGTGTACATTTCTCTCCATGAGACTTGAGTTGCTAAATGTACAGATATAACTATCAGTGTGTGAATAGCTCAAATTGGTTTTTATCGCGAGGTTATTTGTAACCAAAATAATAAATGTCGTTTATGCCGTTTTGGTTTGGCAGCATCCAAATTACGTTCTAAAACCACCCGTTTATTCAGTGTGTGTTGCATCCTTTCTTCGTTAACCTTCATAAAACATCTCTAAAACAATCGAAAACGTTCAAGTATCATCATGATATTGAGACTATGAATTTTGACGCATTTTGAATAAACTTTTCATAACCATGTTTGTCGAAATCCTGATAATGTTGAAGTTACGAGATAATTACTAAAGATAATGGAAAACGAAATACAAGAAGAACAACCAAGCAAAAATAAATATGAGTCATTGTGGTGATCACAAGAGGAATGTTATTGATTGAATATAAGCTGCATTTAAATAGCAGCATAAAACTATTTTTCGTTATTTAAAGATATCTAATACTCTATGTCAATGCTGTTCGTACATTCTCCAATCTGCCATTCAGGTTCCTCGTTAAACTCTGCAATATCTCAGCTGGTATACCAATGAATTCTTTGATTCAATTAATACTTCACTTGAAGTGTGGAAAATTGTTCAATGCGCATTCAACTTAGTAACTTAGTTAGTTGCTAGTAATTGGCATTCATTAACTTCGTTAGAGCTACAATTTGTCCAGTAAAAATGATTCTGAATATTCACGTAACTAGGAAGCTGAAAATACTTCTCATCTAAGATCTACAGCTTGTCCAGATTATTATCTTTGTTTATGTTTGTCATAATTTGTTGATAGAGTTGTTGAACGATCTGTAACTTTAATGAAATGGATGAAATTTTAAATGAAAATGAAGTATTCCTGACTTCCTGATCCCAAATACTTAGCAGCTTATGAACTGAACACTGTGTGTTTGAAACCGTAAGGCTGAAACGTGCACAATTTCGATATTCTGTGGAGTACGAGTACTTCTTGGGCGTCTTGTTAGTTTCAAAGTTGTTAATCCATGTTTATATCAAATGTTTCGAAAGAACCCGATCATGATGCCCTTGGTTGAAAAAACGTCATCTCTTTCTGCGTGGCTTCCAACTTTCATTGATTTTGTGAAACATTTTTATGGCGTGATTTTTTACAGTTTAAGCTCTTTCTTATCCAGTACCGCCAACATATACTGCCCCATTGCATTTCAGAAGTTTCTGTTTTTCTGTGTCACTCTATTAATGTAAAAAGTTAAATCTATTGCAAAATACATATATGTATAATATTACTTGGAAACAGCAAGGTTGAAAAACAACACGAAACAGCAAGCTTTTTTTTATTTTTTAAACTGCTTTGAGCATTCTTTTTTTAAGAATCATTTATCCGATTTGATTTGAATACATCATGGGCCACCAACAACGACTCATCATTAAAAACATCTTGTATTTGCTGCTTTTATTTATAATCTTGTTCGTAAAAGCTTTTTAACGTTTCTGACTGATTGAGAACTTGTTTTAGAGACTTTCACGCCATGTAATGACCCTGTACCTTTCAACAGATTTGTTTACATTGTTCGGCAAGTTTGATTAATATTGCGAATTTCCAGCAAGCCTTATTTAATTCCTTTAAAATAAGATGAATAAAATGTTTGAAACCTTAAAATCTAAATATGTTCTTCCTCATTTTTCCTCAAACATTTGGTTTTGTCAGTGTTATAACCACATTTAGTTGATTTGCTAATTGTTGCAATACTCTTTTTTTGCAAAATCTGTCAGTTTTTGAATTGTTCTGATACTTTTAAAGTCAATTTATAAATTAAACAATAAAACATTTACTCAATTTTTGAAACAAAATAACACAATACAAAATATTTTATAATTCAAATTAATTTAAACCCACTTTATAAAGTTGTCTTTGTTTCCGCGCAAATTTTTTAGTACAGTTAAAACTGTAAATTGCCTTTCACGCGTGTTAAAGTCATCTAAAAGAGAAACACGAAGTTTTTTTATTCTTAGTCACCGAGATTTATGTTTAGTTTCCAAGAGGTCAACTTATTTCTCAGATAATCCTACGAGAAAGTGAAAGTCTTCGATATTTATGTTAACATCAACCTTAACCGTTTTGAAAGTTATTTGGAATTTAATTTAATCTTACTTTTATTTTTCAGATGCGCTCTAAAAAACATCTTTAGAAGAATATAACATTTAAAATAATCCGTTAACATGGAAGTGTTAAGTTCTGAAGACATTAACTCGTTAATTTTAGCGAAGGTCACCACAATGCTGGTTCTAGGATTGAGTTCTTTTATAATAGGAATATCGCCGATAAAAATAGCGAAACTTTTTAAAATGAAATCGGAAGGAAGTGGAAATAATTTAACTGTTTCGTTGTTGTTGTGTTTTGGAGGAGGTGTTTTATTATTTACGACATTTATTCATCTTCAACCGGAAGTTCGCGAAGGATTCGAGGCTTTAGAAAAAGTTAAAGCAATCCCGATAATCGCCGAAGGAATCCCTCTTTCCGAAATCGTATTCTGTATCGGATTTTTCTTCGTTTATATGATTGAAGAATTAGCTCATGCTTTCTTAGATAAAAAGTACGACCACGAAGTTCTACATCGATCTTTATCGATACGATCCCAAAAGAAAGAGAATGGTTTAACCATACCTAGAGTATCTTTAAATAAAGATGACACAAGTATTAGTTGTATAAGTAACTCAAACAAAGAACTTTTTAACTCACAAAATACGCTCAACTTTACGCAACATTCACATGATCATAATCACATCAATTTCGATGAAAATAACTCGTTTAGCGGTTTAATGGCCGTATTAGCATTAAGTTTTCATGCCGTTTTCGAAGGTTTAGCGGTTGGATTAGAAAATAGTGTACAAAAAGTTTGGTATTTATTTGCCGCTATTGCCACACATAAATTGGTAATCGCTTTTTGTGTTGGATTGGAACTTGTTACAAGTAATACAAAGACGATTAAGACAATTTTATATATTGGTACTTTTGCTGTTGTTACACCATTAGGTATTGGTGCTGGAATAGTATTAAAAAATAGTGGGACTTCAGATATTGATATAACATCGGTTATTCTCCAAGGGATGGCAGCTGGAACTCTTCTTTACGTCGTTTTCTTTGAAGTTTTAGCGAGAGAACGGAATAATAATCATAATGGAATTTGGCAATTAACAGCGATTGTGTTTGGATTTTTTATTATGTTCACGCTTCAATTTGCAAGTAAGTACAAAAGTAATAATAATAAAGTGATTATTTGAGCTACTCGGGTTCACCATAGAAAGTAGGTTAACCATCATCCTAAAGATGTATGGACAGATTTTATTACGCCAGGTCAACAACGGTCAAAGGCCTCAAGAGATTTCACTTTTTTTTTTCTTAACCGCTCATTGTACTCAATAAGAAGCATTTTAAAAAAGAAAAAAAAATCTTTTAGTTATTCATATAATTTACATATCATCTGCGTTGACGTTTTCTTTATTTGTTTCATATCTTTATGAAAGTGTTAATTTTCACCTTGTAAAAGATAGATCTGGTATAGTCTAAGATCCTTCCTGTGTCGCAACATGAATTATTTATAGTTCACCTTGGAACCAACCAAAGACATTCTCTAACTTTTCAAAACTCTAGTTCCGCATGATTAATCTCAACCCCTCAAATTCACAATTTTATTACGAGTATTTTTGTTGCAGCCAGTCACGGTCATGGTCACGAACATGTTACGGAAACTACCACGGTTACTGCAGCTACCACATCTGAATTTCACGAACATTCCCATTATTATTAGATAACAAAAGAATCAATAGGCATATAAATAAGATTAAATTGTACAGGAATTATTTATTGTGCTGTATTAAAGAGTGATATGTATTTTTTCTACAATATATAATCATAGAAAAATTATGTGTGATTTTTTCTTTGTGTTGGATTTTAACTCGAAGAATCAAAAAAACTTTTTTCTCATTAACCGTTATTAAACAACTACCATGTAAGTGTTTTCCTAAGACCTTGATCAAAATAATATTTGAGAAAAGAATTTAATAATGACTAAAATTAAGCTATTGTAAGTAGTATTTAGAAGAAAAAAGAATGTGTCATTTGGAGTAGAAGGTATTGTTTCTTGGTCGTGTCATTGAAACTGCCTCATTACACAATGTAAAATTAATGAAAATGAATCCAAGGATGCGTGAAGTTGGCCCTCTATTTTTTGATTGCTTAATAATCATCATTATTTTAAATTGTACTAGTATTATAGCAAGGACAATAAAAAAATTGCATTCAATGGGAAAACTTGCAGAAATGTTGTTTTGATTGGAATAGTCAAATTTTCAAAGAATTTAAGTTTTAGATTATTCTAGGTGTATATTTTATTTAAAAAAATCAATACTTTGGAATACAGCGATATAACTATAATATATTTGGCCAATCAGTTTTTAAATTTGATACTACAACACTGTGTATTTCTTAACTAATTCCGAACAAACTTTTAATTAAAAAGCACGTGGATCTTGAACTCTGCCTGAGGTTGGCTGCTGGATGGATTAATAGCTCAGTCGCTACCACTCTCAAGACCAGAAAAAGGAGGAGGGTTGGCGGAGTGGATTAGCAGCCCAGCCGCCGTTAAAAACCAAATACCTAAAATACTCAAAGAACCATTTACACCTCGAAAACAGGACGGATAACACAGATAAGCGACACGGCGAGAATAAGGAAGAAACGAGTTTGAAGAAGGAATAATCAGAATAAACTGCTGGAACATAACCTCGTGGAACAACAAAGACCAAGAAACCAAGAAACGAGAAAAATTAGAATTACATTCTATTTTTACAGCGAGAAAAACATGGAGGAGCAAGCACATGCTGGTGTGAGGTTACTTGTTCGCGAAACTGATGAACACAATTATGAACGTCGAGATAGGGAAGATCCATATTTTAAGTGCTTACGCACCCGATATGGGTATACCCAAAGAAGACAGAAAAAAATGTTTGACAACGTCCATAATACAGGATGTCTCAAAAAAATGTATTGCAGGTGTAATTAATTAATCACAGCATGGCAGAAATTAGCTTAGTTTAAAAGAGAGGAAATTTGTCCTGAAATGTTATTGGAGGGCTGAAAACGCCATTGAAGTGCAAAAACGATTCAGACGGGAATTTGCTAAACTGCCACCAACGCGAGGGACCATTGTTCGTATCAGAGACAAATTTGAAGCAGATGGAACCGTCGAGAACGTCAAAAAGCGCTGGTGTAAGAAACATTCTTTCGATCACCACAGAAATCACTTCGACAAACTGCTTGGGAAACCCACATCTCAAAAGATAGTAGCGTCTATCGCATCATGAAACGTCTGTACTGGAAATGCTACATTCCTACTGTAATCCATGCTCTCAACGAAGACGATCCTGACCGGAGAGTTTAATTCTGTCAAAATGCGCAGAAGATGCAGGGTTTCCACACAAAATTCTGTGGAACGATTAGGTATCCTTTAAATTAAATGGTTTCATTAATCGCCATAATTGAACGTACTGGAGTTCTGTAAATCCTCATGTAACACTTGAGCATCATGTAAACTTATCACGAGTAACATTGTGGTGTGAGACATTCGCATTGGGCGTCATAGGACCAATTTATTAACGGAACTGTCACTGGTGAGAGATACCTCAACTGGCTTCAGGAGTTAAACTGTCCACAAATTTCAGAGATGTTTGTTTGGTAATGACGACAAGATTTACTTTCAGCAAGATGGAGCACCTTCCCACTACCATCGCGATGTACGAGCTCACCTCGATGCAGCTTTTCCAGACACATGGAATGGACGAACGGGTACCATTGAATATTATGCGCGTTCCCCAGACCTCACGCCCATGGACTTCTTTTTGTGGGGATACCTCAAAGACAAAGTTTATCGCACCAAACCAAGAAGAATCGATGCATTGAAATTGGAAATTAAAAAACAACATCGTGATATTCCTAATGACCTGTTTCGTAATGTTTGCGAATCCCTTGGTGCGCGTTATCAGCGTTGTCTGGACAATAAAGGCCATCAATTTGAACATTTGCGAACATTCCATTTCACTCTATGTTCATAAATAATGTTTTTCTCATCATTCGAAGTGTGAGTACATTCAAACCTTCACACGAAAAAATATTCCCGATGGACAATCTTAATTCAAGAATTAGAAACACCGCTATACCTGATGTAATGCAGCGATATAACGAGGAATTGGTCAATAACAACGATGAAATGTTAATATCGATGTGTGCCAAAGACGAGCTAAGAATCAATAACATCCTTTTCCCACATCAATGGAAGTACAAGTGTACATGGGCTAACAGCAGAGAGTAGACAAGAGCAGAGCAGACAGGAAACTGTGTTGGATTACACGCACCTTAAAAATTATAGACATCAAATAACTAAATCTGGCAAATGTAGATTCCGTGTAGATCCCATGTAAATTCCGTTGTAACCTAACCCCCAAGAAATGCCAACAACAGACAAATAATGTCACAAAATTTAACATAGAATCAGCAACGAAAGCACCAAAAATCTGTACGAAGAGAGACTAAAAATCAAAAGCAACCCATTTCAAAACAAAAATTCATTTCTCTATTTCTTGTAACATTTTCATTCCATTTCTTCCCACCCATGCTCCTTCTCCCATCGTAATTACCCAAACCATGGTCATATCTCCTGTAACAATATGCAAATACCTGGGAATCTTGATAAATCGGAGATTAAAATTTTGAGACCATGCCATCAAGATGAAAATGACAAATCGTGGGAAGCACTTTAGATCTTTAATATACCAGGGACGCGGCATATCTACTAAATGCGCCACCCAGATCTACAAGACCATCTGTATACCGGTCATTACATTTTGAAAGCAAATCCTCTCCGAAGCATCTAGGGAGGCAGATATCATCTAGAAGTGGCGGAAAGATCTGCTCTTAGATGCATCACATGAATCCAATATCCCCAAAATTCTTTTTAATCCCAGCAACGAACTCGTCTTCAAATTTTATCTCATAATGCTGCCATCAATTCCCCTATTGATTCCTTTAAAAACCTGTTCGTTACTACCCAATCTTTCTATCACTCTCTTCATCTCCTACGCAAATTAACTGGTTTCAAGAACCAAGACTCGAGCAAATTCTATCCCGGATAGAAACACCACTACAGATATTTATTATTTTTTTCCGTTATTATGTTTTGCCGGCGTAAATAAATTTTGTTTTCACTCTCAGGGTAATCAGGAAATAACGGAAATTATGAATTATCAAGACGTAATCATAATATGAAAACTTAAAAACCGCAAAACATCAGGCGACGACGAAATTGGTAATGAGATAATTAAATACGGTGGACAAGAACTTGCAAAAGAAATAACCACCCTATTCCAAAAAAACACTGGAGAACGGAAATATACCAGACCAGTAGCGAACGAGATAACAATACCCATACTCAAAAAAGGACAGAAAAAAGGTTCAAGAAACTACTAATTGTTAACAAATATTATAGTCCAGAAAGTAACAACACAAACCGGAATAAGTAATGAACAGAATAGACAATAGAAAATGTTTTGTAGAGACTTATTTCTCAATTAGCCACTGATTATTAAAACAGCCATTCCTTCATAAATTAGTTCCAAGCCTTGTAAAAGTACTGGGATGTGGATTCTGCTGTCTGGATACATAGCTTGATATATACCATAGGCTTCTCTACTATTATCATTACATCTGATGACCACTCTTAGCATCAAAACAACTTACTATTACACTACAAATCATTAAATCCAGCTAAACGCGAAATTGTATTATTTCCAGCGATCGAAATACAAATATGTAGTTTATTGAAGTTTGTCAGATTGACAGACGTTTCAGAATCCCGTCAATCAGTGTCATTCGTCCTTTCTCAAAATTTGATTTGGATTTGGATAAGGCACCGTGGCCCCACAACAAAAAACCTCGATGAATATGAATTCGTAAAATGACCAGTGAGAGTACACCGGTTACAGACGAAGACCTCTTCAATCAATGTCTCGACAACTTTTATACCACCGCAAGCATTCAAGGCCGTGTAGCCTATTTGCTTATGTCCGTTTATGCAGTCAATCCCAATATTTGGCACAGGTAATGGCATAGTTATTTCAATACACTTACACCATTTTATTCCATTTAGATTTACATTATACAATCCATCACACATTCTCTTCAGCAACATGATTTATGGAGCTGCGGTTCACATTTATTCAAGACCAGCTATGAGACCAATAAGTGGAGGTAACAGAATTGTTTTTAGGTTAGTCATTATTAATTTAAATTAATAATAATCGCGATTAAAATAATTTTGAAAAATAGTATTCTAGGTTCAATGATGTTTAATTATTCTTCGATGCTAGTCTTTGAATTTTTAAAAGAAAAATTGGATCATCGACCGATATTATTAACATTATTGGGCTTCATATGCGGCCGAATGATGATGCTCCATTTTCTTTCCTATCTTTACCATGTGGATCGTATAAGTCGCGTGGATAGGAATTTTCGAAGAAATCCCGCTTTCGATAGTATGTATGTTCGGGATTGTATGTGCCAGCCCGCAAAAATAGCCCCTTTTTTTCTTTTTGATTTCAGGTACTCCTAGTAATGTGAAATGTAAATGTGGAGAGTATTGTTTTTGACGAAAAAATATAACTGTGTCTATTAAAATGTTCCAATTGGGAAAGTGATGATATTTATTTATAAATAATTGCGTCATGAATAAAAAAAATGGGATTAAAAAAACATTTTTCTTAGTCAATAACTACTTTGCCTTTTATTATTATAAAATGAAATATTAATGATTAATAATGATACAACCTATTTATTTTTTGACTAGAGCGTCTACGTGTGAGACATAATTAGTTCCCAGGTTAATAAGGGCCAGTCCAGTGCTAATACCACAAGCTGTACATAGAGCAACGTTTTGTGGAACTACACTTCGTAAAATCGCCCAGATTAATACAGAACCCATTGAAAAGGATAATGCTCCAAAAGTACTAAAATTAAACAAAAATAAATTAAAAATATAATCTATGTTATTACATTTTTTAATACCTGTAAAGAATCCTAGAGCTGGAAGAGGCTGATCTTAAATGGGGCCGACTATATAAATACAAACCTGTCCCTAATAAGGTATTTAATAAAAGAATATTGGTTATATCTCTTTTAGGAAATAATCTGTAAATAAAATTAACAATGAAATTTTTTCCGCAATTTAATTAAATAATAAATATTATAAATTTCTGACTTCTAGATATATTTAAATTTTTCAATTCCTCAGATGAAAAGTTAGCATAGGATGTGGCATAGAAAATATATTTTTTAAACTGTAATTGTAGATGTCCGTTATAACGCGAGGTTGTACATTGTTACTTTTTTAATATTGATTGAAGAGAAAATGAGCAAGATTTATAACCTATCAGTCCTAATAAGCATTCATCAACGTACGTGAATTTCACTTAAAATGCAATATACGAAAATATAGTTCCATGTCTGAATGTTTCTAGTTCTAATGTTAGTTCTAGTGACAGTGGTAAGTAGCGCTAGTTAACATAAGATATCACTATGTTGCATATTTTTATTGATCTAAAACTAGAACTAACACTAGACCTAGAACTAAAAACATTCGGGTTTAGCCGTCTTAAGAAACGTGCGGCTAAACCGGAATGTTTCTAGTTCTAGGTCTAGTGTTAGTTATAGTATTCCACTAGTACTAGAACTAACACAAGACCTAGAACTAAAAACATTCGGGTTTAGCCGTCTTAAGAGACGTGCGGCTAAACCCGAATGTTTCTAGTTCTAGGTCTAGTGTTAGTTATAGTATTCCAGTAGCACTAGAACTAACACAAGACCTAGAACTAGAATCATTCGGGTTTAGCCGTCTTGAGAGACGTGAGGCTAAACTCGAATGTTTTTAGTTCTCAGTCTAGTGTTAGTTTAGTTTTAAATGTTATTTAGCGTTAGATTGTGGTATTTTTATTAAACGAAATGTAGAACTAACACTAGACCTAGAACCAGAAATATTTGGGTTTAATCGTGTGTCTCTTAAGATGGTCGAAAACTTAGGGTTGTCATAAAGACGTCACTTTTTTCCAAGCAAAAGTTTTCCTTTGCAAAACTACCCAATGTCTGTAGTATTAAGCTATGCTGCATTTTATGTGGGACAGTGCAAGTGCATAGTAGTTTCGTAACTATAGTTCTGCATTCATATATTACGAGTTATATGAAATTCCCGGTATAAAAAATGTGAAAGGGACATGGCTGATTTCAAGTTTGGTTTCAGACAGGGGATGCACATAACAGAAGCGATAATGGCCGTTAACGACTCAGTTTAGAACTGTTACGACGTACGCAAATACATATACTTATGCTTCCTCGACTACGAAAAAGCATTTGATTCAGTAGAATATCATTCATGCAGCTTTTCATTAACTTGGACATAGACCAGAAGGACATTAGATGCATCGAAAACCTTTATTGGCATCAGACTAAACCCGGGTAAAATTCGACAATCATTCCAACAGCATTCCAATCAGAAGGGAAGTATGGCAGGGATGCGTTCTTGTCGCGGCTCCTGTTTAATCTCTACTTAGAGGCAGCATTTCAAGAAGTATTTGATGATGCTAAGATTGGTATTAAAGTTAATGGGGATACGCTGATGACACTATCTTGATTACTGACAACTTGGAAGGGTTACTACGATTACTCGATGTAATTCATGATAATAAAAAAGAATCTGGGCGCATTCGAAGATTCCGAACAAACAGTCAATGATACACGAATAGAAAGAGTAGACAAATTTTAATACCTGTCGATATGGCCATCTAATAACTGCACATCGGTCAACGAAATTAAAAATCGCATAGAACAAGCTAGACAGGTATTTTTAAAGTTCATAAGCGTATTCGATCTAAAGTTGAGATTGAGGTTCGTGAAATGTTATGTATAGAACTAGCTGATTTTGTATGGAGTGGAAGGGAGGGCCTTAAAAACAAGTAAGCGGGAAGTAATAATTAAGTTGGAAGCATTCGTGATGTAGACATACAGTTCGCAGAGTACTGCGAATCCTTTGAATTGCACATATTTGGAATATATGCGACATGATAAATACAAATTGTATTTGCAATTAATAACTGAAGGCGAATTGAAAGGGCAGAGGGGTTGGCAAAAAAAAGATTTTCTAGCTACGAAATATTCGACAATGGACTGGATTGCACAACATAGAGGCTATAATCTATACTGCGAGGAATATCAAATATCTATTAGTGGATAACCATTGCAAGAAGGAGAAAATAAATGTTTAACAGTCTAAAACACAATTTTTAAATTATTTTAATGATGACTCTGTAATCCGAATTATTCTATAATGCAAAATATTCGTGTTAATTAATTCGGATTAGCGAGTCCCCACTGTACATGAAAAAAAAAATGAAGCAACAAGAAAATTCCTTACAGGGATAACAGAGCCTAAGACTGACAGTTCACTGCCAGAAAGTTTTTAATGTATTTTAAGTTCGGGCATGGGGACATATTTCATGTGTGGACAAGATTTTCATTTTTTGGCGCATGATGAGCAAAGATACACATGATTAATGAAGCCCCACTACACAAATTTTCAAATATTTATCATCCCTGTAAAGATATTCGTGGAAATCTGTCTCGGTCATAGAACGAGTGGGCGCTGTGTGAAATATTCGATGCTTTACGCCATTGCAATCAACTCCTGAACATGCGCAGAGGTAGTTATTAGTTGTATACCGAGGACACGTTCACAAAATTGAAATTAGGACACAAAACTTCCACTCACAGACCAGGAACAATGATGAATAGAGAAATCAAACATACGGGTATACCCATCCTGGAATTTCGCAAAACAATTGCTTATAATTTATGCAATGCTCGTTCTTCTCCAGCAGAAAAGTTCAAGCCAAGCAGAATTGGTCGTTCATGTCATGAAGTATATCATCAGAATTTTATTTACTTTAACGTATTATATCACAAACTCATGCTCAAAAACTTGGACATAAACTAGAAGGACATTAGATGCATCGAAAATCTTTATTGGCATTAAACTGAGCGGGTAAAATTCGACAATTATCTTTCCAACAGCATTCCAATCAGAAGGAGAGTACGCCAGGGGTGCGTTCTGTTGCCGCTCCTGTTTAATCTCTACTCAGAAATTGGTATTAAAGTGAATGGGAATAGGTAATACCAAAACATGTCACGAAATCGAAATTGGTACACAAAACTTCCACTCATAGCCAGGATGTGATTTGATGTATAAAGAAATCAAATATATAGTTACACCCATCCTGGAATTTCGCAAAACAATTGCTTATAGTTTAGACAATGCTCATCCTTCTCCAGCAGAAGATATTCAAGTCATCACGCCAAACAGAAATCGTCGTAGGAACTGTAGGAAAAATTTTCAAACCAATATTTTATTACTAAATGCTTTAATTGAAACTTTTATGATAATAAACACTGGTTTTCTAAGTACTTTTGCTTTTATTTACTATTTATTTGCTGTTAAATTTGCATGCAAGAAACTGGCGTTAAGCAGCACTTCTAGTTGGTCAGCTTAATAAGTCTAGATCTTCAAAATTATTAGATGCCAAAAATCTGGCGTGTAAGATGGGAAAAACTAATTTGGTCATATTGACTGAGTCTATGTGGTAATTAAAAAAGTTTTCTCAGTCACATATAGAGACTTCTCACAAATTGCAACTGCTGTGGTAAGAAGAATTTTCCTGGTATTTTATCAGATTTAACCATGTCAGTTAAAACACATGTTTAAAATGACTTAAAAATAATATTTAAAGTGGGATAATCCACATTCCAATTAAAAAAGTTAAACCAAATATTTGTGAATCAATTACAAGATGTTTACAACTATCACCACTTGACTAATGTAATTTTAAAAACAATTTCTTCTTCAATTTCCTATGTTTATTAACACAAAAAGATTAACATAAGAATTTTCTTTGCCACACCCTGTAACTTCTCTTTTGAACCAAATAAAATAAAAATATTGAAAGAAAAAAAAGCTTTGTATATTTATTTAAATAAAATATAGCATTTCTTTTTGAATTTGTGCCAAAAAGATGAATATCCAGTGCTGGCAAACTAACAAAACTTTTCATACCATTTTTTTAAAGTTCCAAGTATGACATAACCTTCTTATAAGATAACAAATTTTGAAATTATTAATTAAATTATGAAATAAATTGTAACTTTAAATATTTTGTAAAATCATTAATAAATACCTTAAGATAAGTGAAGGGTTCATAACATTTACGGATAGAGCTGTGTAGCTAAGGACTCCTTGTGCTGGGACGTAGTAAAACAAGATATTGCTCTTCGTCAAAGGTCTAAGGCCGAACTTGCCACAACATGATTCCCTTGCAGCAGCAGCAGATGCCATGGTTTTTCTTTGTAAATGGAAAACTTAGAATTTGCAGGCAAAACGATTAATCCGAGAAATGTGCTATTTTAACGAAAGTCGAAATGTCACATGAGCCTAAACGAAAATGTCCCTAGATTAATAAAAGACGATTTTACTTCTAACAGTTATACAACTACAATTATTACAACAATCTCTAACAAACCTTTATTTTTTTAATTCAAATTGATATACAAATTACATTTAAAAATAAAAAAGAAATATAATTAAAAAATATTTTTTCATTACTTTCACTACCAACCCACAAACTTAAAAAACCTCTAAAATCAGCCCAAATCAAGCGGTTTTGAGGTTAGAAAATTGGAACTTTAAAAATATGTCTTTAACAAGAAATATTGTGATAAACATCTTAAAAAACACTAAAAAATCATCATGGAGACACCCAATTAGATTTTTATCAACGGAATCTGGAGAAATCAAAGAAAATAAACCTCAACTTGGAGGTTATGCTAAGGCCTACGAAAAGTTTGAAAATCTCACTCAAGAACCTAAAGAACCACCAAAAAGTTTTGCCACGCTTCTTAGGAACTCTAAATTTATTGATGTAACTTAATTTGTATTTATATTCGATTAATTATTAACTTCTTTATATTAGTTAGGAGATCCGGAGGGGAAACTAGTTGTTGGAAGAATAGTTCACATTATTGATGATGATTTATACATTGATTTCGGTTGGAAATTTAATTGTGTTTGTTCAAGACCGAAAAAGAATGCAACGTAAGTTGATTTAGAGTCACAGTGTGCTAAATTCTAATAATTTTATTATTTAACACAATTTAATTTGTTGCATTTTGTAGGAGTTACGTACGAGGAGCAAAAGTACGATTAATGATCAAAGATTTAGAATTATCAACAAGATTCTTAGGTAATGAAAAAGATTTGACATTATTAGAGGCGGATTGTGTTTTATTAGGATTAATTCAAGATAGAAATAAGTCTGTAATGTAATTTATTATAAGTATTTTTTAACAAAAAATAGACAAGCCATAATTATAATGAAACAAGTTGATTTTTTATTCACTCCATATAAATTAATTTGCCGCTGTTATAAATAGAATATATTTCAATTAATATAAAAGAAAAAAAAATTAAAGCTTCTTTACCAAGATAACATAATATGTACTTATAACATTAAAATATATTTATTTACAATTATTTTTTTAATTCAAGTATAATGTACATAAGTGTATTCATAAGTTAACAAAAAAGTTGTTATTTGAGATTATTGTTTCCACAAAAGGCATACTTTTTTACTTTAAGATTCTTAGTTTTTAATTTTTAAAGCATCATATCTTTATAAAATCGTACAAGGAAGTCCACAGCATAATGGAAGACAAACGGGGACTAAAGCGGCCTTTGTTTTTGTTTTACTTTCCTCTTTATATTCATATTTGCCAGATTCTTTAGCCATTGCACCCTAAAAATTGAATAAACAAATAATGATATAAAAAATATAAGAATTAACTAATTACTTCTGCTCTCCAACCGCCTCCAGATTCTTCTTTCTTAGCAAACATCTCATAACCAGGAGGATAATAAACCGGTGGCCCTGTAACATTTTTCGTCCTCTGTATTTCTTCCTTTTTCTTTTCGTCGTGCTCAATTTGTTGTTGTCTTAAATTATCTGCTTTTTTCTGGTGGGCCAATTCGATTTCGTGGGCGTTAAAACCAGCGTTTAATGGACTATTTGGTGGCTAAATTAAACAATTTTTTTTAACATGAATTGTTTTTGGTTTATTCGTAATTATTTACCTCTCTTCCAATGGTTGCCATTAATTCATCGAGTTTTTTCGGTGGGGATCCATCGTCTTCGTCGGTCGGAAAAGGTCGAGGTTGTAGCAAAGGTTCCGTTTCACTAGATGGTGGATATCCTTTATAATTATTACTTGTAGTGCTCGTTGCAGAATATTTATAAGTGATATTCATCGGTTCTGGTGGTGGTTTTGGATATCTTGGTTCGTTATCTCTCGGATAACGTTGGTTTGAAAAATTATTTGATGTCATATTTTCTCTATAAATAACCGTGTCTTGAGGTGGATAACTTGGATATTGGGGTCCTGTATTTGTATTAGTCGTATGAGTTTCTTTAATAATGACAGTTTCTTTATTTGGTGGTTCTCTATGTGGTGGATATCCATCAACGTTTCTTGTAGTGGTATTTTCATCGTACATGTAAGTATGTTTTCCAGAACTATCTCTATAAATATTTCCTGGCTGATAATTTCTTGTTGTAACCGTTTCTTTTACCAAAGATGTATCTGTACCGCCAATTGGAGGGGGTGGTCTTTGATAAGGTTGATCTTGGACGTTCGTGGTTGTTGTTTCTCTATAAACCGAAGTGTTTTGCCAATTTGGATCGGTTTGATAGTTAACATTTCTTGTAAGCGAGTTATTTTCAAATTTATTATAAACAAAGCTTTTACTCGGAGTTGAACTGCTTTGATTCGGCGAATAAACATATTTTTCAGTTGTTGTATCAGTTGCAGAACCTGGACTTGGATAAACAGCTCCAGGAATTTCATAAGTGTACGTTTTAATCGTCGTGGTTACTTTTGTGTTTCCCGTTGGTAAAAGATTTGGGTCTAAATTTGCCAAAATTTCCGGATTTATATCAGTGGTGGTTGTTTCAACAACTTCCATGGGGTAAGAATGAACGTTGGTTACTTTAGTTTGTTTTGATAGAGTACTTGAACGACTTGGTGATGGTGATGTTGTTCTTAATTGTTTTAAGTCATTAGTACTTTCGCTGCTGTATTGAATGTCACGAGTAACCGAATTTTCACGATCCGATCTATCTAATGTACGACTTCTACTACTTCTTGGTGTTTCTGGATAAATTATATCTCTTTCAACTACAGTTTTTCCTGATATAACTTTACTTTTGCTATATTCCCTGTTAAAATAAATAATTATACAAGATTTTTACAATTATACTTGGTAGAACATTAAAATGAACACAAAGTTCATATGAAAAAAGTTGGCATACATAATAAATTTGCTAACTCTTTTGTGTCAAAGCTGTGTTAGCTTTTTTAAGCTTATTTATATTATTATTAATAGACTCCGTCGGTGTCAATGTTAACTAATCATCCTCACAAGAATTTGCTTTGAATTGTGATCTGTTATTAAAACCGCGCAATGGTTTGCCTTACTTATTATTGCAAAAACTTGTAAAATGTCCTGTTTCGAACAACGGTGGAATAATGAACATCAAACTACTACATAGTTTGATATGATTGAAAAAATGTTTTGCCGGCTCATGTATTTCCGTGATTTGAGGTATTTGCAAAATGAAGACAATCGATTGAAGATGGAAGACTTATTTTATACGATATAAATTATACATTAATAGTAATGTCTTTGTAGCTTCTCAACGTTATTGAACGATAAGTCCCACGACTTAATGATTTGGTCGAGTTGTTTAGGAAGACTTCGTCCAACATCCTCTTAACGTCGTCGGCAAACACGATTACTATTTATTTAATCAATTAGTTCACGAACCATTTACATTAGAACAAAGAGAATATTCATTAGCAAACAGCGTATTTGTTAAAGTGCAATGCAACAGTTGTCTGCCTCTCTTCTCCAATGTGTTTATTGAAGCTGTTTACCTTATTTTACTACATGCTCTTAAATTATTTAAACGTTTTAAAGCAATATATACGTAGTAAATCAGTTTAACTAAGTAATAAACCTGAAAGATAACAAATCCGTACAATAAATAAAACATACAGAAATAAATCGAGCTTATTTTTCTGTTTTGATTTTTTTTCAATATCAGATCTTTGCAAGAGCTCGATGTGTAGAAACTCCATAATCCTTCACATATTTGTATATGATTGTATTAAATCATTTGTCACTTTATGGCTTACAATTGTTAACATCATTTCGGTTGAGTTCGATTTTGCAGCTTAATCGGTATACTCATTTCAAAATTGTTCACTGAATGAATCTGGATCATTAATAGCGATCTCATATTAGGTAAGCAAACCTTTCTTGATTGGGGAGGGATAAATGCTCCGTAAATCCTTCTACTTGTTTAGGCTATTTATAGATGTGTGAATTATATGAAGTATTGGGACTCTCATGGTAGCATTTGCACTAGGAACACTTAATACGTTTTTCGATAGCGACGATAACACTTTTACCGAGAAAAACATCGATAGCAAGTGGTTATTGACTTGAGCCTTGGTTATATATTATGGTTATATATTGGTGGATATGGCATTGGTTTAACATAAATTAAAAATGACTTTTTCTCCTTACAACATTAAAAAATTATCTCAAGAATGTCATTTTGGGAGAGTTGAAATCGTTCAAATTTACGTATAACCAAGTAATATCCATTGGTCTAAAGATTGAAAGATTTTTCTCCAGCGCTGTATACGTTTCAAATAAGTAATTTTGAGAGCAATAATATTGAACTGTAATTCTATTCGATTAGAAGAACTGAAAATGCTCAATGTTATTAAGATTTTGTGTGTTGGGTTGGTTACACGATCTTTTTATGTTTTGTTATTGGAAACGGCAGTTTCACCGTTCCAAGGAAAGGATAATATAACACTGACTGTCTAGCGTAACTTCCTGGCATCTTATTCTCCGCAACATTTCAAAAACTTTTACAAAGCAAGATTTAGACTGATTCGACTACAACCGTGTACACAAATATATTGTGCCGGCGATCTCCTCGACCAATTATGGGACCAACTGATGGAGAATCTTTAACAGAAATCCACAATCGTAGGCACCACATTTTTCTCCACATGTATAGAGGGCGTAAGTTAAGCGTGGTCAGAGAGATTGACGTTTTCAATTTTTCAAGAATGCTAATTTGGCTTCCGAAATGCCAAGCAAACGTCTCAGATAAAGAAAGTATGTTCTTTAATGTCTCCGTAGACAGATAAAGAGGTGTTGAATCGGATAACAGCATGGCATTGGTGATAATTCCTCCTGTCGGCGGTCTCTTCTGTAGAGATTGTAGAGTAGCTTCAACAACAATTACTAATGTTAGTCATAGCTGAAATGGCGAATTCATTCTTTGTTCGGGATGAGCTAATGATGACTCAATGCAACTTGCATCACAGTAGAGTTGCAACACTTTATTATCTATTTGCAGCCCTACATCATATCATATAGAAATGAACATGACGTTAGCTTCAGTTTACCTTTAGCACGAGGTCTAAACCCCTTCTAATAATTTGGTGGGAGTGGTTAATAACACTAGATCAAATAATGGGAATTTTAGAATAAATTATGGTTTTAATGCATACCTCGTTGCGGAAATATGTTAAGGATGACAAAATGAGTGTGTTATTTTTAAACTTCATTTCAAGTGCTGGTATTGACTTATTTAATGGATGGTCAATGCGAGTTTTGTTACTGCCATGAGGCAATCAAATTGATCGATAGTACTTTGGCATCGATGAGTGCCTCCAACAAAAAGATCGAGACAAAACAACCTCAAACACAACCTCGAAAAGGTTGCTCTAAGGTCCATTACTACCATCTTCTGGTTAAGCTATCTAAGGGATTATTACCACGGTTACGGCTATTTTAAGCGCTCTGATTGGCTAGTAGATGGGTTTATCTATAAGATAAATTTAACTAAAAGATGGTAGTAATGGACCTAATTCTCCCTTTTAAAGTGCTCAGTGCACCACCAATTGGCAGCACATCTTCTTAGCTCAGCTTTTACTCATTGTGGAGAGGCTTCTTTATAAGAAGTTATGAAGGAATAGATGAAAATTCTTTGATAGTATTCAGCCTGGTAAGGCAGACATGGATCGGCGAACCGACTTACTAAAGAAGGATGAGCTTCTCGAAAGATTACAATTTCTAACAATAATCAGAAGTGCACTTTTGAAGATGGGTTTCAATAGATTGCTTGTTAGCAGTGGCCTTGCGTGTATGTATGCCATATTTAGCAGAGAGACCTAATCAATTATCTCTAAAATTACACACTCAGCAGGTGGCGTTCATGACCATGTTGTGTCTAAACCGTTAAAATTCACAGTGTCTTCTCATATGAACAACAACACCATCTGCATATATCACTTGGGAAAGGTATGACTGGTTTAGTTTTAAGCGTTTTAAGGTAGGAAAAGATCACATATGGGTTGGTTATATGTTAAACTACTATCTAACACTTGAAGACGTGATATCAACTAACTACATATTTATGTTGATAATGGCAATTTCTATTTGCTCTGAAAACAAGCACTCCTGCCTTAGTCAATAGACGGGTAACCAACCCGTAAGCTAGTTCAATCTTTAATCAACTTATAACTAGACCAATGATGCGTTACACTTCAGATGAGGCAGTAAAGTGTTTTGTGAGTCTTGGAAACATGTCATATGTATTGATACAAGAATACTCAGCAAGATCTCAGGTCAGAAAATTGTTGAGAAGTTACACACTCTCTCTGTCTCATATATAGAAATGTATGTGTAATACAACTTCTTAAAGATTTGTTTTCTAGAAATCCACTAGTCCAGAGTAAAATCAAAATTATAATTATATCAGTAGCAGCAAGAGAGAGTTAGAGAGTTTCAAAATGCTTCGATTAAGTGTATATCTTGCATAGCTACTAGTGTCAGTACTCAGAGTAGAGTCACTAATCAGTAAGGTAAGTGATTTCAAGATTTGATAGAGCTAATGATATCAGGATAAATGGGATGTACATTTATTTGATGGCGAATTATATTACAAAGTGAATATCACATAATATGAAAAACTTGATTCCCTATAAATATATACTCCTGAAGATGATTAATTAAAATCAAAACCGGGTCAATTCTATTTCATTTCAATATAAATTGTAATTACGGGTGCAAAGTCTAATCGACTATACTTAATAGTAGCTTTATTAGTAAAAAGCTTAATATTATTTTTTTCTGCGTAATATTCTCTTATCTACATTCTTATCAATAAAATGCTTTATTAATCCAATACAGAAAGGAAATCTAATTGCAAAAAAAATAATATTTTTGATTTGTTGTGGTTTTAAAAGATACTCACTGGTAACCTGGACTGGTGCCAACACGGTACGATTCTGTAACGGTTGTAAAATATAAATTTAGAAAAGGTGACTAACTTTTTCGTTTTCATCCAAAAAGTTGATCTTTGTTGATTGATTACTCACCTGAACTTGGTTTCACTTGTTGTAAATCATCTAAAAGAGAATCTAATTGGTTTATATTGTTTTGCATTCGAGTACCATCAGTTCCATCGCTCGTTTTGTAAGAGTACATTTCTTTCTTTACGGTTTTAACACTTTTTGTGCCATCTGGAGACTGAAATCATCAATAAAAACTAATCCTTTTAATACAAAATACTTTTCTTACTGTGTAACTGTAAGAATCATCTGTTGAATATTCAGTAACAGGATTGGCAGCTTTTGTATTGGTAATTCGGCTTAAAGAATTTGATCTAGCCGATGAATCAGTGTTTCGTTCCGTTCTAATTTCTCGGTAAGTGTTACTACCCAAAGCGCTATCCGGACGAGAAACCGAATTTTGTAAATCTTCCAAAAGATAATCAAGGTTGTTATCAAATTCGCCTAAATTCTGTTTTGAACCTCTCATTCCAGCTGGAGATCTCGTCCTCATTATTTTCGTTTCTTGATACTCTTTTCGTTCAACTCTCGACATCTTGGCTCAACCTGCAAAATACAAAACGTTTTATTCGTAACAACGTAATTACCTCTCGTCGGCGTCGTCTTATGCCAGGATGTATTATTTTTAGATTTTACAATGAGGCCAAACTGAGTGATTCTGTTCTTTTTAAGAAAAATGGTTTTTGTTAATTTTGAAGAAATGACCAAGTTTTTTTATAGTAAAAACATCACGTCCGTTTTAAACTTTAAATTTATCACGTGGATTCGATCTCGTATTCGAGTCAAGGTCCGAGTAATTCCAATAAGAATCACCTTAGCCTACAACATTTAGGCAAACAGATGGCGAAAACCTCAAGAACCTTGCAATTGGGTGACGTCACAAGGACTTCGATGGAAAGTTATTATGTGATCAGAACTTATTTGGAAATGAAAAATAAGAATTAAAAGCGTTAAAATTAAAAGACTTGTGGTTTTATGAAACACCTTTTTGATGTTTGCTGCCAAAAGACGAGATGAGTCATTAAAAAAACCACAGGTTTAAAGATAAAGTTGGTTTGTACCACAATATTTGAACTTTATCTTTAAATATTGATACATAGAATAGATTGTTGGGGTTTTCATGGAAATTGTTTGCATTTTTATCTGTTTTATTTTTGGATTATTATTAGGTCAGTTTCAAAGAAGAAATGTAAACGAAGTCGGTGACGATTCTCTTTAAGGTTGTGGGAGGGTTATTTTTATCCCTGACCTAAATTGGTTTTATTTTCAGTTGAAATTGGACAAAAATGTAGATCACCACCTGTTTCCTGTTTCCTTTTAATTCTTTTCTACTCGAATTATTAACAAAAATAATAATTTTTGGAAAAAAGTATTTTGAAAAGAATCTATGTAGTTTACCTTGAAACAGAATCAAAACGAAATAATATGTTACGTAAGTCGTTCATTAAGTGTATTTGCAAAGAAAACGCCTGCACATAAACACATGTTCCGCCTTTTCTAAATAAAATGGTTTCAATTAAAACCGTAACACGAGATGACCGATGGACTTTCGTGATTCGTTTCGCTAAATTCCTCAATAAAACCTTAATGCTAATTCGCAACGATTAGAATGGAAAAGAAAATACCATTAAAATTAATTTGTCGAGGAATTTTAATGTAGGTTTATGCAATAAAAATAAAAATAGATATGATACAATAAGATTTTTTTAAGTTAAATTGAAAATTGTTGTGTACATATTGAAATCCTGAAAACTCTCGCCGGCTGAGACGGCGCTTATTATATTTAACCCGTGTATACATAAATCTAAATTTAGCGAATCGGTGCGTATACAGCTCTTCTGACCTTGCTTATAGCAAAAGAGAGCTTTCTGTCTGTGGCCTGATTTACTCAAAAAGCTTGAAAAATATATTCGTTGAGAACATCTAAATATATCGGTTGTATATCGATTACAAATCTTACGAGATTAATTATTTTGAGAAGGTAAGTTCACTCAGAAAATTATTTGCTTTAATAAAAGATGACTATAAATAAAGGGGTTGTAATTTTGAAGGAATTTACTACTACTATACACTTGATATTTGATATTTGATACGTCGTAGAGATTAAAATTATCTACTTATATTTCTCCCACTTCCGGTTATTAAGAAATGGATACCAATTTCACCATTTTTATAAAACACTTAAATTAATCTTAATAAGTGTACCATTTTCGTTCAAATTATGTACTCTTGTGCACCATGTAAATGTATTCATTTATATTAACGGTTTAAAATTACTGTTAGTAAAAAAACGATAGAACGATATTTAGTATTCACAATTTTAACTTTCAATGACCATGATTTGCAATTTGAACATAACGCGATTGAAAGGGTAATTCGTTTTCAATAACGTAGTTTAAATTAATATTTTAACTGTTCTAATCGATCTTTATAATTAATTTTCCAAAAACCAAACTAATGTTTATTTTTTATCTTCAAAAAAACTAAAAATCTTTGGTGTTTTGGTAGTTGTTGATGGAGAGTGTAAAATAATACAAAAATTACAAAAATAAAATGTAATTTTCAGTTCGGTTGTTTATTTAATCTCTTGTGCTTTCTCGTATTGTTTGGCTAGTTTCCAATTTCTTAGGACTGCATATTAAATTAGTACACGTAAATCTAAAATGTGTAATAACAAAATATAAAGATTATACATGTGTACTAGTATTTGGTGAAAATCGCGGGTAGTTTCTGACTTGTTGCTGTGAAAATGTAAAGCTCTTCTTCTTCTTCATAAATTACATATCGACCCTTAGGATCTATTGTATCTCGATAGATAACGTTATCAAATTTCACCATGCAGTCCAATGCTCTTAACGAACATTAATAACTTGCTCGGTGAAAAGTCATTCATATCCTTTGAGGAGATAAACTGCGACAAAAAATTGAGAATCTGATACGATTTTAGGGTAGTAGCATAAACCATGCACAACCGTCTCCTAGTTCTCCGCACATAGTCGGCATTTAACATCGTCGGTTAGACCCAACAAGTTGAGGTGTGTCTTTAATTGGCAGTGCCCAGTAAAGACACCCATTAGAACTTTAATGCTGGTACGAGCAAGTCCTAAGATATTTCCAGGTTTGACTGTAGGAGAAGTCTCTCTTTAGCCCACAGTCCAATCCTATGGTTGGCCAACGCAAATGACACGTCAACTGCTGGCTTTGGCCCCACAAACGCTTTAGCGCTGCCCTCTGGTGCTAGCTCATCTGCCACTTCATTGCCCAGTGGCTTGATTGTCTGAGAAAAATAGTTTTTAAAATTGTAGCACCCATGTCAATAGCAAATACTTCCACCTGGAATAGAGTATAGTACATACCCAGGCTGTTAGCCTAATTCGAGGTGTCTGACAATATATTCCTGCCCCGAACCTTTCCGGCGTTTTTGATTCTTCACCTTGGATTGTTGGGCGGATCAGTCCATCCAACTTTCATCTCCTGGTGAAGGGCACAACGATTGTCTTTTGCGGGTTTATCGAGAGATTCTCTCCCTTACACCAACCGTAAATGGTAGGGTCACCTGGAGGACTTTGGACATCTTCGACAAACAGGTTCCTTTGACCATAACGACAATGTTATCAGCATACGCTTATATTTCTACATCAACNATATAAAGATTATACATGTGTACTAGTATTTGGTGAAAATCGCGGGTAGTTTCTGACTTGTTGCTGTGAAAATGTAAAGCTCTTCTTCTTCTTCATAAATTACATATCGACCCTTAGGATCTATTGTATCTCGATAGATAACGTTATCAAATTTCACCGTGCAGTCCAATGCTCTTAACGAACATTAATAACTTGCTCGGTGAAAAGTCATTCATATCCTTTGGGGGGAAAAACTGCGACAAAAAATCGAGAATCTGATACGATTTTAGGGTAGTAGCATAACACATGCACAACCGTCTCCTAGTCCTCCGCACATAGTCGGCATTTAACATCGTCGGTTAGACCCAACAAGTTGAGGTGTGTCTTTAATTGGCAGTGCCCAGTAAAGACGCCCATTAGAACTTTAATGTTGGTACGAGCAAGTCCTAAGATATTTCCGGGTTTGACAGTAGGAGAAGTCGCTCTTCAGCCCACAGTCCAATCCTATGGTTGGCAAACGCAAATGATACGTCAACTGCTAGCTTTGGCCCCACAAACGCTTTAGCGCTGCCCTCTGGTGCTAGCTCATCTGTCACTTCATTGCCCAGTGGCTTGATTGTCTGAGAAAAATAGTTTTTAAAATTTTAGCACCCATGTCAATAGCAAATACTTCCACCTGGAATAGAGTATAGTACATACCCAGGCTGTTAGCCTAATTCGAGGTGTCTGACAATATACTCCTGCCCCGAACCTTTCCGGCGTTTTTGATCCATCTGTGAAATTCAAATATCAGCCTGAACCAGAGAATTTTCGTTTTTGATCCAGGAAAATCTGGTATTGAGCATTAATCACTAATTGCCCATTGATCGGACATGTTGGAACAGTTTTGAGAATATTGCTTAAATCTGTAAATGGTAGGTCTAGCTTACCACTTAGATCGTAGGTCTAAACACAGTCCCGTAGAGCCAGTACAGTCTTTACTACGACAAGTTCACAATGATAGTCTAGCTTTGTGTAAAACTCCCTGCAAAAGTCCATTCTATGAGAGAGTTTTGTCTAGGATTACTCATAGATGTATGTATGTAGTTTCATGTGAGGTTGGTTAAACCACAGGTGGTATAACCAAAGCACTTGGGCCCCAACGGTCCCTTTGTACATCCTCACGGTTTACTTCGGCCACGTGTAGGTCTATTTGGAGGAGTGAAAGATGTTCGAAAATGGCATCCGATCACTCATAGATATTTGATTTCTTTTGAGAAAGGAATTTCTTCACCTTGGATTGTTGGGCGGATTAGTCCATCCAAATTTCATCTCCTGGTGAAAGGCACAATGATTGTCTTTTGCGGGTTTATCGAGAGATTCTCTCCCTTACACCAAGCGCAAATGGTATCTAGGGTCACCTGGAGGACTTTGAACATCTTCGACAAACAGGTTCCTTTGACCATAACGACAATGTTATCAGCATAAGCTTGTATTTCCACACCAACGGCTTCGACTATCGCAATCAGATCGTCAACTAGGAGGGACCAAAGCAGGGGAGATAACACCCCTCCCTGCGGGCAGCCACCTCCCGGCCTGAAGTGTATCGTGTCACCGTGGAGTGAAGTAGAAACTATTCTACTGTCAAGCATATTGTGGATCCAACCCGCTATAGTTACTTCCACTCCCCTATCAAGAGCAGCTCTTTCAAGAGATTGTGGTATTTCGTTGTTTGATCATCCTCTTAGATGAAGGAATTTCGCAATAAATCCATTGAAAGTTCTAGTAGACCCTCCAAGTTGGCATACAACCTATCTTGTATGCAGAATCACTGTTGATGAGTCAAAAACTAGCACTCAAAAATATAAAATATAATAACACACTTGGAAATCGGTGAGTATAATAAAAAACTTTCTCCTTTAAAGTTGTTAGATTAAGAACTTTTAATTGATTAATGTCCAACCTAAAGAATTCAAATTTCATTACAGCGTAATCTTTTGGTAAAACCGTGATGATTTTGGTTGCAGTGCCAAAATCAATTACTACTTGATTTTGGTCACGTTTGTTTGGAGTGTTTAATTAAACGTATACAAAAAAGTTAGAGCTAACACCTTTCTAGAGGTCCACTTCAAATTGGCCAATTTAGTCTGGTTACACGTTTTGTTTTAAAGGTATGTAATTTACATGATTTTTCATGTAATTTACGAATTTAAATAAAGTAAAAGTGCCAATGTACGCCGTGTAATCTTGTTCCTGACAATTATTAATTAAGTGTTGACTTTCTGGGTACACATTTTGTCCTAACTTTAAATTAGGAACAGCATATTGATGAACTGTGTAAACGACCGCGCAGTAAAATCTTTGTTTGGAAAGACTTTAATGAAAATGTGCCAAGGTCTCCGCTATTTTTGACGCATTTTAGTGTTCGCAAATTATTAATTAAGTAAATTGAGTAAAATTTGTCATTGATAAAGTCGACAAGCTTGTTGACGTCGCGCACTGTTACTGTAATGTGATTGATATTGTCATCTTATTTCTCACTCCGTATCGATTTTTTGGGCGATATTTGCTTTATGTTACAGATGAAAATCGCACTTCGCAGAAATAGGTGATCGGAAAGGAAATGATAAGGATATTTACAGTTGTGCGAACACAAGAGTTCAATTATACTCTACTTTTTTCTGCAAAGTGAATTCTGGTGTAGTACCTTGTAGACATGAACAGTGCAAATTTCTAAAATTGCTTTGAGAGGTGTTCCTTGAAAACGAAGATTCTTGTGAAACAACTCCTTTCTAAGGAACCTCTTATTGTAATTAGGCCTCTATTGTTATGGATAGAATATAACAGGGATATAATGTGTTCATTAACTTTTCTATACAACTGCAATATTCTCAAAAATTTCAAAGCGACTACATTGTCTTACACACATAAATTTGCCAAATATTTCTTAATTATGTCGCACAAATAAGCTAGTTTCAGCAAAAGGTTTTGTAATTTTATAACCTTCCTCTTGTAAAAAAATTGGTTTGCATAGCATGGCGTGTTTTGCTGCCAATACACGTCTGTAATTTTACATAGACACCAGACTTGGATCGAAGTCTATCAGTACACTAATGCACTTTTCAAATCCAAATCCTTTTCAATTATAAACCATCTATAAATCATTTTGACTTAGTGCCACGCAGAATCAGATTTATTTCTAAATTGATGGTGTTCGAGTTTTTTTTTCTATCGACCCCATATGACAGGATATTGATAATCTCCGATTTAGCGCAGGTTAGATATCAAGAGGGCAAAGCCGGGATAACGTCATTTAGATTCTATATAACACTGTTTGGATGACTTCAGCTCCATATATTAAATTGGTTCCTTACGATACCTTACGTTGATGATGCATAGGTGTACATTATTTGAGCAGGCACGTATTACGTGCCTCAAAGTCTAAATAAATTAATTTTGATGTCTTCCTCGATAAATGGTTTTTTACAATATCTGATATCTTTAGGCTGTTTAAACACTGTTTGGGCATGAGTCAGAGAAACGCAGGTGTAATATCGTCTAGAAGATGCTTCAACAGACCTTTATGTTGTCTATTAATTGATCCTTGACATTTTTCCATCCATATTAACCACATCAGCAGCGGATGGTTCAATAAGTACTTCGTCACTCAATATGTGATATTAAAAGATCTAGCACTGTGTAGTTTGGCACTAGGAATTATTTCGTGAACACCATTTTTTGTTGTTACACATCTTGCAACTGTGAATTCAATATTTTTCAACCACCATATTTTTTGGAGTAATTGCTTTTGAAATGTGTTTATTTATTTGGGAAAGTACACTCAAAAGCTACAACAAGATATAAAGCACACTACGGTCTCTTTTCTTTGTTTACTTCTAAGTTAAGTTCAAATAGTTTCTTATAGTAAGTTTCTTTGCTACTCCAGTTTTGATGACTAATCCTGCTCACATGAGCAATAAACGCTTCGATATTTATTTAGGAATTAATATATTCTATGTGCTCAGTTTCACGCCAAAGTCCATATTAATCACAATATGGACTTTGGCGTTGAAAATTATAACATTTACAAAGCTGAATGAAGAAATATGCTACATAACACCTGCAAAGATTGCAATATGAAGTAGACTACGACTAAATATGTCAAATTTGGAGTTACTAGAAGTGATGCCTCTTATGCATTAGGGTGGCATGACCTTTCTAATCATTAGTGTTAATCCAAAGAATAAAATGGTTTAAAAGATTACGTACACGATAGGTTTCTACCAGCTGTCTGCTGATAGTTGTATGCCGAGACTGTTTGGCCGCTTATTTAAAAACCACTTTGTAACTTAGGAAGACCATAAAATAGAGACATAGTAGATGACAATGATGCGTTAATATGGAATAATAATTATGTTAATAACTATGTGTAGTTTTAAATATATTACAACGTTAAGCAGAACTCAAACTAAAATATAGTACCTTAGTTGATTCAATAAAAAAGCCGGAAGTACAGATGATGTTGCCCAATATAGTCTTAACTAAGGTTCCCTCAAATAATTATGATTTTAACTCGGGTTTCCAAGGAATCATTAAGGGCTGAAGACTCCTCAAGGAATGACTATGAATACTTTTATGCCAAGGAAGAATAACGTAGTGTAAATTTATGTTTTGTTATCCAATGAGATACAATATTGTGAATGTTCAACTTAATCACAATTGTTCATTAAGTTAGGCTGTAATTTTTTTATCTTTTGAAATACCTAATTTATTAATTCATTTATGATAACAATTTTGCTCATTTACATTCATGAATATTTTATTTTGTATATTATTTATACATATATAATCTTTTTAAACATTTTGTATTTTATTTGTGTTTATGTCATCCTCGCAGTAATCAAGTGTTATGTCAAACGTCAATAACAAACATCACTGATATGCTGCCATCAAGAAATATATGCTGCCAATCTAAGAAAATTATCATTGCAAATTTATTCCAATCATCCTCGAGAATAACTTAAATCGGCTTAATTTAATCATAAGAATACCGTTTATAATTCTAAATCGTTATCATACATAAAATAAATAATCTAAAGATGCTTTTTTTAACATAATTAAATGTGAATTATTCAAAATCTTCTTGAAAATCTTTATAACAACTTTTCTTCCTATAATAACCCAAGATTCTAACTGTATTTCTTATTTATAATTCAAGACCATCTCGTACACAGAATTTAAACGGTTTTCAACATCCATTAAAAACGTTAAAGCAACATTTACAAGAGTACATTCTCACTCATGCTCTTAATTCTTAAGAAGGAAACGTTTTAAAACACCCAAGTGGCTCCACAACAACGATTACGTTGTACGATAACGTTTCATTTTGTAATCTGGATTAATCAAGTGCATTTTAAGCCGGTTTTATTATTAAATTGTTGATACATCTTATCGTATCTCGGAAATATGTTTTATTTTTATGAATTAAATTAAAAAATAAGTTTAAATTTAAATTATTTTTTGCTTTAAAAGTATAACGAACTTAACAAAAACATTACATAAATACATTTCCTCTTAAGGATGTAAATAAATAAAGGTGTAGTGTTTCTTTTTTTGGTGTTTAAACAATAATTTGAAAAGTATTGTGTCATCTTTAATTTTAGCCGGATTTAAAGTAAATACCATTTAAGTTGTAGGTAGATACATTCTTAGAATGTTATAAATAAACATGATTTTAGCAATAAAAGATTGTAATGAATTCGTTTTTATTGTTTATATCGCAAAGATAAAAACGAGTTTTTGAAGAGAGTCATCCTTCTTTTGAAGAGTATCTTTAGGAGGTTGTCGGTGGTTCTTTTTTGGAGGAAGGCATCTCTCAGTGGGAGTTTGGAATGCGAATAAAACGATTACGACGAGAACGGGCAGTGAGTTTGGAGTCGATCGCGTGCATAATTGAAACATTGGCGGCATTTATTCGCCGCGAAAGGCAACAACAGCGACGTCGAACTGAAAGAACAACGACTACGGACATTGAAAACACCAGATGAACGATCCGAATCGTATTGCGTCTCGTCGTAAAGATGTTGCGCCTTAAATGGAGCGGTAACGAAAAATTTCAATTGCAAATTAACGGGATTACGAAATCCCGATACGATTCCGTCCTCGGATCTCCAATTAAAGAGGAATAAAAATCGCATGTGTGTTTTTAGATTTGAATCTTAAAGCAAATGATTTATTATGATTTATTATCACAGTTAATCGTTTATTTTTGATTTAAAAAATAACAATAAATTCATAGATTTCCGATTAATTTTGATTCAAAAAATTATTTCTTCTAATTCATTTTGGTTTTCCTTAAAAAAATTTCTTACCTTTTGATTAATTTTTAATTTCGATTTTTCCAAAAAAAATAATAATAACTTAACACTTTTTCGTTTTCGATGTAAAAACTTACACAGCACCGATGCTACTGAGTAAAGTTCTCACGTAGCACACTCGGATTCACGATCCACGGGCTATTCTCAGATCCAGTTGGCCGCGACGTTCAAAATGTCAACGCGTGGGAATCGCGTCGTTTGTGCGCACGCGTCGATTTGCGATCCGCGATTGTTTTACGCTGTGGGCGACGCAGGTAACTTGATTTCTAAAGCGGCAGCAGGTTTCAGTGTGTTCGGGTAGTGTAGGCATATTTTTTCATTCAAGTTTTTTTTTTGTTGGAAAATCCTAGCCGTGCGTTACAAATTCCTTATTTAGACAATTACGATTGGCAGCAGGTGTTATTCATTCATGATTGAATCCCACTTGTACAATACTTATGTATGCTATTACTTGCAACCGACAAGGAATTACGATATACTCACTTTATTTTCTTTTTAAACTTACCTTTTTGGTTTCAAGCTGATGATTCTGTATTCTGATATTGGTCACATCCAACTTTGTATTTCCACCAATTGCACACTCGTAACAAGAATTGGTGCCTATTTTATCGTCTTTCTTCCTACGTCACCAGGTGGATGCAGACGCAATCAACAAACAACTTTCAGCAGGCAGTTTTATGTGCTACTATTTTTTAACTCTTTTGGTCTCAATGAGACACATTAGAGATGGGTCAACTCAATTTATCAAACTGGGTTAACTCGAGTTGAAGTTATTTCAACTTAATTCGAGTTAGACTGTTACTAACTCGAGTTACGGACCACCAGTGGTACAGTGCCTGCGGTTCCACATCGTCGTTAAATCAAACTGAAAATAACATTTTAATCGAACCGCCTTCGACGATTCAATAAAACGATACAAGCAAACTCGTTTAACCGTACCATTTTCTGCAAAAAATTTTGCAAAAATTTGGAGATGATGCGTTGATTCAAATGATAGTTCAGGATTGTCAAAAATAAAGGTTTGTGCAAATACACCAAAATATTAAATACCGATTATGAACTGCCTTCGAGGAAAAAATTGACTCAGATGTTGGAAGAAAAGTATAACATTGAGTGTACGGAAAAATTGCAGGACGATGAACATATTGCTTTGACATCAGATATTTTATAGAAGAAACAAAATTGCAATCAATAGCTATTTCTACTTCGGAAATACAAGATAATCATACAGCTGAAAATATAATAATAATAATAATAGCCTTTACTGCACATTCATCAGGAAAAATGAAAAATAATTATAAATAATTGATTACAAAAATAAAAGTAAAAACAAATTATAATAAAAAGATAATGAGATAATTAATAACATAATGTACTACAGTAAAGTATTACACCAAATAAAAATAAAATAAAATAATAAAAAAAAACAATAACAAGAGAAACAGAAATACTTAACTCTACAAAAAATAAAAAAAAAAGAAAGAAAACAATATCTTAAATAAAGTAAAGAAATATTCGCAGCAAAACTGTGACTCACCGGTCTCTGCCAGAAATAGTAGTCACCTGCTCTCCAAGTAACCGTGCCCTCAAATGTTTTTTAAAACAATTAACACCGAGATTCCTCAACTCGTCACCAATGCTCACGTATGACTTATATATATGAAAAGAAAAAGATCTTTGGAAAAGTGACGTTCTGTGTCGAGGCGGGTCTATGCAGCACCTAAATCTAGTTTCACGATTGTGAATATCGCACCTGAAAAACATCTTATTGTACAAATATATAGGGATTTTAGTAGTAATCAATTTATGATAATAAGTTAGAGTATGAAGTTCTCTTCTTGAGCGCATCGACAACCAGCCTGATTCAATAAGCCAGTGGGAAATGTGATCGAACTTCCGGATTCCATAAATAAAACGAAGATAGCTATTCTGAACTCTCTGAATCCTCCCCGAGTCATATTAGCACACAGCCGGATGATATAAGGGAATCATATAGTTAAACTGAGAAAGAACCAAGGAGTCACATAAAGTTTTTTTCAACAAGATAGGCAAATAGCTTCTATGGGGATATAGTAGCCTTAACGAGTGATACGCTTTCTTGATGTAGTTATTAACTTGACTATGGTATCTAAAACTGTTATCTACAATCAAACCAAGACTCCTTGCCTCACTCACAATCGGCACCTCAGATCCCTGAATGTAAACTTTAACCAAACCCTTTAACTGGTCGCAAAAGCTTTTGTTACCAAAGAGCAAAACGGCAGATTTATTAAGATTAATTTTCAGACAATGTAAATTGGAAACATTCGTTATATATTCCAAGTCAGAATTTAAATTATTAATAGCATTGCGCCATTGGGATGGACCAAAAGAAACATAAAGCTGGGTATCATCGGCATAACTGTGAACTTGATTGTGTTTCATATTATGAAAGATTTTTGAAGTATATATCGAAAACAACGTGGGACCAAGAATTGAGCCCTGAGGAACCCCAAAATCAATTGGTCGAGAAGAAGATGTTATGCCCTCTATCCGACCACACTGTGATCTCCGTCCAAGATAACTGCCAAGCAGAGCAACCGCTGAAGGATCAAGCCCAACAGAGTGAAGAATCCTAAAAAGGACCGCATGATTCACAGTATCAAACGCTTTACTATAGTCTAACAAGGTAAGAACGGTAACTTCACCCTTATCAGTCGCAGAGATAATGTCATCTGTCACCTTCAGCATCGCAGAGCAACAATCATACCCTCGACGAAACCCAGACTGAGTAGATGATAGAGAACTTTCAGTACTCTTTCAAGAACCTTTGATAACATTGGGAGAATACTAATGGGTCTCAGGTCCTTCAAAGCTTTTGGGTCACTACATTTAGGTATAGGCTTAATTAAGGCTTCCTTCCAGCAATCAGGAAATACACTTTCCAGAATGCAGGAATTTATAATATGTGTAATAAAAGGTACTATATGGGGACAACAAAGTTTTACCATCTCAGGACTAATTTTATCAGTTCCTGTTATAGCAAATTATTCAACAAATATTGGACGAGTGGCAGATAAGTTCTAAAATAGTGACTATAGTTACAGACAATGCAGCTTCAATGAAAACTGCAATTAGCGAAATTTTAAATAAGCAAAACCATTTCTGTGTAGTCCACACTCTTAATCTTGCTATGAAAGATTGTATAGAAAAAGATAGAATTAATTTAGGAGATACCACCGCTAATAATAATCAGTTATTGCAAGTAATAAATAAATGCCGAGCGATTGTATCACATTTTAAACATAGCACAAAATCTTCATATACTTTGGTCACCATGCAGAAGCAAATGAATTTGGCTGTAATCAAATTAAAGCAAGATGTTCGCACTCGCTGGAACAGTACCTTTCATATGCTCGAACGCCTATTAAAGCTCAAGGTTCCGTTTTCTACTACTTTACCGACACTGGTATCACCTCCACCGAATCTGGATTCTGAAGAGTGATTATTTGCTGAAGACGTAGTGGCGTTCTTGCATCCGTTTGAAAAGATAACTACAATTTTATCCGGGAAAAAGTATCTATCGCTATCAACTGTTATAGCTCTTGTATTCGGTCTACGACATACCATAAATAGCAAGACAAAGTACACAGACAGGCAAGCACTTACAAAGAACTCTTGCTGTTATAATAAAGACGCGACTTGGGGTTTATAAGATTAATAGAGCAGTAGCAAAAGCTATTTTTGCTACCAATTCGGTTTGAACTCGGTTTACTCAAATTTTAAACTCGGTTTGCCGAAAACCCGAGTTGGCCCATCACTAGGACGTATCAATTCCAAAGCATATCTACTTCAGCAATCCATTGTGCCTAATTTATCCCGTTTTATGCAGAAATAACGTTCTATTGAGTCTCATGTGGATAATCCATTTCCCGTAATTTGCAGAACCCACAAAGTTGTCAACATATGACAGTTTTTATGTTATGTTTTTATGAGTTGTGATGCTTTTTAGGAAAATTTGTTCCAGTATGTTCGATGTTCTTCAGAAATTCTTATAAATTGCTATATATCATAAAATTCATAAAAAATCTCACAAATAGCTGTTTAATGAGTCTACAACACAGACACCTTAGAGAAGTCTTTACTATATATTATGTATATCATGTTGATATGTTACAACATGTCAAAAGAGAAAATTATAATTCAGAGCAAGACCCCTTTCACAATGCTAACGAATAAGATGCATCACATCAATCTACGTTTGGTGCCAAAAATCAATTTAGAGATTTATATCTTCGCAACTGTCCGATGAAAATAATAGCGGCAAAGTTTGTTCTAATCGGTCCTAATAATATAGAAGCTTGGAAAACACGGAAAGAACAGCTGCCGATGGAAAGTTCATTTTATGGAGAAAAGGTTTATTGTATGGTTCTGAATTTCTAGACTAGCTCATTGGAAATTATAAAAAATCTGTTTTACTACTCTAAACTTTAAACGCAATTTTCTCAAAACTACGTTTTTATAACTCTTGGGCACGATATCGCAAAAGCTTTTCGATCAATATTCTTGAAATTTGTTACAGATATAAATAGTAATGTTGTTTTCTATTTGAACCTAAAAAATTATATACTCTGTATACAAAGTAAGGAATAAATTCGATACAAATTCGGGGAATATTGTTAAATCAATGTGTTTTGACTCATGATGATATCTCGATCCGTTTTCATATTACGCTGGAGCCTTCGTGTCTTTATTTTAGCTACAGAAAAAATAAAGACGCGACGTCCAGGCTATAAAGAACATACACCAGCAACATCTTTAATACACTTATAACGGAATTATATGCAATTGATTGACATATTTTATAATTGCGTTGAAATCCACTAAACCACGATTTTCTGCGCAACTATACGGAATACTCATCAAGAAAAATAGATTTTTTTAGTTAGATAGTTTTTGAGAAAAAGTCGCGTAGTGGATATAGTTGAAGACACTCTCAAATAACGTGTATTTTTTTTATTTAACAAATCATCTATTTTTTTCAACGAACAGTTTCGATCGTTTCTAAATTGAGGGGTGTTAACTTTTGATACCAATAGCAGTCCCCCTATTTGGTCGTCCATAACTTCCATAATCTTCAGAATGCTTAAATGACCTTCATTTAACGTGCATGCAGTCCATATAAATAGACAAGTTTAGGATTATTTTATGAATCAATTGTATACTTTTAAGTTTCCTTTTCCCAGGAGTCATAAAATTTCGCGTAGTAGAACTACGCTTTCAATTTTTTCTTGACCTATTCTTTCAACTTCATTTTCTGAGTATAAAATATGCTATATATTTCATTTATACCATTCTATATCCACCTCAATTTATCGAGCGCTACTATCCTGCTTATCAGGATATATTTATTCTCGTCATAATCGCACCAAGCATCGTAAATAGCAGTGTCTTTTTTGCCATTCCATTTATCCAAATTTTATCTCTGTTAGCGCGGAGGTCGCGGCGATCTATCAAGACTTTATCAGTCATACTCTGTCTGATCCCTTGAATGCAGGATGTACTTGGTCTACCTCTCCTTCTTCTATGTGAGGTCTCTTTTTTGCCATCGGTTTTCGGGCAATAAATATTATTCCATCATAGATCTTGGTCCATACCCTCTTAGGAGTAATATCACGTTTCTTATAATTCAACAGTTTTTGTCAATGGAACTTCCGCATATCAAACATGGCTTCAATATATCATACATAACATAATTTTGTCATCCACATAATATATTTTCGTATACTTACAAGGAAATATGATCATTTATTATGTTCTGTATATTTCATGGTGGATAAATCAATTATACATTGGTCTTTGAGATGATGTTTGTGAAGAAGATGTTTGTGCATCTGCAACAGGTATATTTCAGGATTAAAAAGCTAATGCAAGGGTATTAATGAATGTTAATACAGAAAGGTATGTGCTAGATGCCCCATGTACAGAGGGTATGGTTTAACGATGATTTACAAACAATTAGATTTACGGTCTCATCCTCCAATTCGAACGCTATGATTATGGAATGTGTTTAGTTTTGCTGTGTCCGTTTAGAAATTGTGCGAGCAATCTCAAGACCTTTTTTGGCCTGCCCAGGGGCTGTATAGCTGTTTTCCAGATTGTGTAGTGCAGGGAATCATCACAATCTGTGGTATCATCTCATGTAACGCAGGAAATTAAGTGTGATAGATTAAACCAACTTCTGCATTGTGTTGAACGTGATATCACTTTCAACCATTTTCTGGCGATAGTATTTAAATTTTAGACACAAATATGTGATTTACTTTATGAAAGAGCATTTGACAGAATAATTATTTTGATCTTATTTTAACAATATTTTATTCACATAAATTATAATATAATATCTACATACTTAAAATTTAAAAATAGATTAAAGATGATAAATGCTAAATGTAGGAGATTTAAACCACTAAATCTGAGGATTTTGCATTTCCAATGGATCTTACCATCAAAGACTTGGATCGTGGAATACTTGTTAAACTTTGTGTCTAAAACAATACAAGTAGGCGAAAATTTAAAAATGCATTTCATAAAGATATTTAACGATAAGTTAGAAAGTACAATAATTTATTGTTACTGGATAAGTTAGACGTACATGCAGCATGTTAGTATTGCCATCAGCGAACCAGCATATCCTTTTCGCTCAGCGATAACAAAGATGTATCAACTCCTCTCTAAAAAAGTAATGTACAAAATTTAATGAAATAATATTTACAAAATAAATAAATATATTTACAATCATTCATTTATTAAGATTAAATCTTTAGTAGATGATACGCCTTAAGGTTATGCAACACAAACAGCGTCAGCTATACCTATTTTCTTATTATTTCATTTTTTTAGTAAAAATGTTACAAAAAGTGCTTTCAAAAATAATCACTATACTGAATACAAGGTACAACTATAAAAGTTAAAGTGAAAAAAACTAAATTATAGGAAAAATTACCGGTTTTGCCTAAGGGAGATAGAATTTATAGCCGCTAAGCTTCATCATTTTTGCCGTTCTCATTGCACTGAGAGCTCAAAACATTCAGATTTCTAGATTTTTATTTCCGGTCGTCGTCAAACGGTAACGCGCAGGTGGTAGGTGTTAACGTACTTGTGCTTGTTAAACATGTAAATAGTTACCTCCAGCGTTCTCGGCGTATTTCCGTACTGAGTTTTGCATCGTTGAAAACCGTTGGAGTGCATATTGAAGCGTGTCGAATTTGTACTGCGCGACATCACCAGTGTCTCACTTCTATTCAATTTCCGTTCGCAAAACATCGCCTTAAATGTACGACGATATTTATCGGATAAAACGCAGTATAAAATAAAATTACACGAAGCGTTAACGGCCAGAAGAAGATTAAAAATGTTTCCTAATCCTAAACAAATTCAAAAAATAAAATAAATATATTTAATTTGTATTAGATTACAAACATGACTCAGAAATGTAAGTTATAAGGAAAGAGTGATTGGAATCTTTTATATCTGGGGATTTAATATCAATTTCACTCATTCATTTAAGATCATGGTGATTGTATGACCAGGTGGTATTGGCGCAGGACACATATGATTTAGAATTTATGATAAAGTGACACTTTCACCGAATATAAGAAGTGGGTGATGCATATAAGCTTAAAAAAGACAGAATATCTAGTGATTAATAGCGATGCTAAATTTCAAATATTAATTAATAACGACACAATAATTAATCTAGTTGATCAAAGAGAGCTAAACCATACAATAAGTGAAAGCAGGAAAATTATAGGTTGTGAAAATTATAGCTTAATAGTCTATGGTTGGACAAGAACACAAGGAGAGGAAACAAAAAGAGACTAGAAAAAACACTAGTAGAGTCAGTCCTGGGCTATGATAGTGAGATATGGTTAGTAAACGCAGATCTAGAAAGACGGCTTCAAGAGGTCGAGATGAACTATTTGAGAAGAAGCGCCAGGGCGTCAAGAATGCAACGAATAAGTAATGACGAAATTCGAAATCGCATGAAAACAACGTCAACAGTGATAGAAAGAATCAAAGTAAGAGGTTTACGGTGGTTTGGACACCTGATGAGGGTTAATGGCAACTTGGCCGACGAAGTTATTTAAATAGGTTCCGACAGGGAGGAAGAAACATGGAAGACTGAGAAGAACCTGGAATGAAGACTTCGCAAAGGCAATGCGAGAGAAACAACTCAAGATAGAGGATACGCAGGATAAAGAGTCTTGGCGAAAGGGATTGGGTAGACAGTGCTTAGTTGTAATTTGATATGTAATATTTGCTGATGTGTACAATCTAGCTCAATATACAGAGTGTATCATGAAGAATGGTACATATGTTAATATGTTATAGATTTGTTCATTTTAAGCAGTTCTCAAAGGTAACTGAGATACAGCCAGTTAATGCATAAACTGATTTATTTAAATGTGCACATAAAACATCGAAATTCGGACTTTAAAGGAAGGGTTCGAATATCCCACCGCCTAACTCGATGCACTTGGCTGATTTCTTGAAGATATTACGCACTGTGCTGCGTAATTTATCCTGATGTGCCTTGATTCATGCAGCACTGGCCGTAATACGAGCGATTAGCTCATCACGCGTGTTTACTTTTACTTGATAAACATCTCTTTTCAGCCATCCCCACATTCTCCTGGCAAAGTCTGTTGGTTCAAGGTGTTGAACATGAAATGGATACATGCCATGAGTACGCAATGTTCTCCATACTTTTACATGAGGAACACCAAGACGGGCAGAAAGTCTTCTTGTGCTGGTAGATGGACTGCGTTCTTCCTACTGAAGAATTTGTTCAACTTCATTCAGAGTTTGCACAAACGTGCAAACCTGCACGTTGAGAATGAATACTTGTACTTGGAACAGAACCGGTTTCATGCAATCTGTTGAATGTTCAAGTAAATGCTCTTGAATCTGGCAGCACTTGGTTAGGAAACTGTCCCCTATAGTCACGACGAGTACCACGTGCATTTCCATTGCAGAAATCGTAACAAAACACCATATCAGCATATTCTGCATGAGTCAATATGTGTGGCATTATCAACAACTTAGTCGACATGTTAACGAAATAATGTTAAATGTCAAACATTGACAAATGATTGTTTCACAACAGCCGTGCGTGATATTAATTTATGCATTAACTGGCTGTATCTGAGTTACCTTTGAGAATTGAGCACATGTTTTTAGGAACTTTTCTGTTTAAAATGAACAAATCTATAACATATTAATGTATGTACCATTCCTCATGAAACAACAACCTGTATATACATATATATCTTTTGATATTATTTAGACACACCCTCCACAAAGAGAATTTTTTATCAGTTAGGCAGGAATCACATCCATCATGGATAAATGAGCACTGAAGTGTAGGTACATTTTTTTTATAAAATTATCAAAAGAAAATATAAAAGAAATAAATATGTTGTCTTACCTCTTTTTATATTATTTGTATAAGGATCTGATGTACGAGCAATAGAATCATAAATTAAAAATGTAGCTGTTGGTGTTTGACAGATTAAAAAAAGTATAACAACGCTAATTAATAAAAGAGTAATTCGATTTTCTTGAGTTTGAGTAACGCTTTCCTAGAAACAAAAAAAAAATGTACCATTAGAACAACTTTTCGAAATATCTATTTATAAAAGATAAATTCGGCGCCAAGTCAACTCAACCAAACAAATTCAGTTTTGACCTCGGCAATCCATTTATAAACATCAAAAGGCCAATACCTGATTCTTAGTCATCTTCTTCCTGGTCACTTGGGAAATGTAAAGTGCCCGAATTAAAAAGCAATTAAACGTTGCAATAAGAATTAGTGGTAAAATTCCGAATGTTAACGATGAAAACCAATACATTATTGTAATATAGGTGTCGTTTTCTGCTAAAGATGTTGGAACCGTGTATATTGTGTAAACCAGTTTACCGCATGTACTATTAAAACATAATGATTCGGTTATGTTTTCAGTATCAGTTTCATTTGAATGATTTTCCGTTAATTCGTCATTTTCTTTTTGGCAAACACAATCCTTCGAGTTTTTAGGAAGAGTCTTATTCTGATCAATTAAAAATAGATTGTCGATAAAAAGAAGATTCGATTGATTTTGATGATTATCTTGAATGTTTTCAATGTTAGTAAAATTACTTAAGATTGTAGAATTTATTTTATCATCAGTTAAATTATTTTCAATTTCGTTTTGACATCTATTTTCATTTATACATTTTTTCTTCATATCTAATTGGTATTCAAAAGTAGTTGAAATCGTTGCTAACAAACACAATAAACTTATAATTGTAATAATATTTTTTGCTCTGGTTTCCGTACATAAAACTTTTCCTTTTATTGGATGGCAAACTACGATGTATCTTTCAACTGTAAATGAAACTGTTAACCACACCGATGTACTACCTAAAAGGAAAAAAGAATTCATAAACATCTTTACATATACGTAATCTGACGCGGTTGAAAACGTTTAAATATTCTATTTTTGAAATTTTGGGTGGTATCCAATTTTATTAAAAGCCGATTGAAAATCTGACACAGGATTTATGTAAACAATTTCAATTAACCAAACATAAATAGTATTTTATTTTTGTAACTTACTTGCAGCATCACATAACCAATGGGAAATTCCATAAAATCTCCAATATAACATATATTTTTCATTGTGTATGTTCGGATAATGCGTCAAAGACAGTAATAGTACAAAGATGAGATAAATTACGTCAGCTATTGCTAATGCGGTTAAATAAATCGTTGTTGTACATCGCATTCTTCTCCTAAAGAAATTAAAAAAAATAAAAATTAGATAAGTAAGAAAATGTTATAGCACGAAAATGATTTTTATTATTTTTTATAATTATATAGATTTTGCAAACATCTGCTTGGAGACTTCTTCCGTAATTTCAATCAATTTTTTTTCTATCACTAGGTATTTTCACATAAATGCTTTTTTAATATCATTTTTAGTAATTTTGCAATCTTTGTTGAGGTGTTGGAATATTTTATTTATAGAATCTCAAAATTATTAGCTTATCTTAAAACATGCATTATTTCTTAAGCCGTCCAGATTTTTAGTGCTCGTATAGATGGAGTTCTACGAACGACGTGGTATCAATGTATTGACATATGTAAATAAGTTAGCAAAACAATTAGATGCTGATGTTAGTATCTCAGTAATCATTCATTGTGTCATATCGACTCAACAAATCGTCGAATGGATTTATGTCGATGAGAAAAGCAGTGAGTATGGGGATATATATTTATTTGACGAAATTCATAGCTATTTATAGACAAAATTTTGAAGAGGAATCAGAATCCTTATCTGATGAAGATGAAAGTGTTCCATAGAGCAATCAGAATTTAGTATTTCATACCGATTCTTCAATTAAATATTTCCACTATGTCCTTCAAGATACTGGAGTAGATAACATTGACGATGAAGAAGATGGATTATATTCTATTATAAGATACAATATAATCTGGGATCTTCTTCTTCTATACTTTCTGGCCGGATCCACCAGCAGATTTTTCTGACCATCTGTTCTTAAACCATTTCGGCTTTACTCTACAAAACTCTGAGCTAATATCAGAGGAAAATGTAATAATTAATTAATGCGAATTAGGGAATAAAGTGATGAGTTAAATAATTGTTGGGTTGGGTTGGGTTGGGTGAAGTGGTTGAGTGGAACTGTGTGAAGCTCATCGTAGCGAATAGAGTAAGCGAACAATTGGGGGATGAAAAGAAATAAACAAATTATTCCAGATTGTGAGGAGGCAAGCAAATGTTTCCTTCAAAAGTGATTGATAAGATCCTGACTGAAGAAAGTGGAAATACCTATAACCGAATACTTGAAAATTCTTATAAATAAAGTCTTCTAAGTACCATAGCTTTAATTTACTATTCAGATCTGTTCATATTGAATTACTTTGTTTAATATAATTAACTTCTGTTATTAATCTTTCAATTTTGTTGTCTCTGCTATTTTGGTCATAGGGATTGTATTTTATTTTGTGTTTAGTTAGTAGTGCTACATCGCTCGATACTGTTAAAGAATTAGCATCAAATCTATAGATATTAAAAGTAGCTAATTGAACCTCTTGTGGAATCAGATAAATCTCGGTGTTACACACAATATTTATATAATTATATTATTAGCAATTTTTGCTTCCTTGGATCATTACCATTAAACTTTAAGATTATGTTTTTAATTCTGAGATAATTGATGAAATTATTTGCTTTATAATATTCATGATGATTAGATGAGATCATTTCAGGACTACTTAATTATTAATAATATGTGGAAAGTTTATTATGTTATTGTTATTTGGATGTGTATGTTTCAGGGAAAAAGTTACCCTGCAACCGTTCGTAAGGTTAACGCAATTTTCGATCGTGGAAGTGCACCAAATGTGACAACTAATCGAAAAGTGATACATAAATTTGAAGAAATTGGGTCGATTATGGACTGTAAATTTCCTGTGCGTTGACGTAACGGACGGTCTCTTGAAAACATAGCTGCTGTAAACGAGAGTGCGTCGAAAGGCCGGAAACATCAATTCTACATCAATAGAAACGAACGAGCCACTGTTTGGTGCGGATTTTGGGCAGCCGGCGTGATTAGCCAGTATTTTCTTGAAAATGAGGCTGGCAATGCTATAACTGTCAACGGTGTGCGGTATCGCAACATAATAATGGAGACCTCATCAAGACGGTATGGATCGAGAAGACTTGTGGTTCTAGAAAGATAGCAGTGAGAAAAAATCAATTATTGATAAATGGGCTCATCCATACCATTGATGCTCTAGGCATGTTTTCAGAAAAATTATAAAATAAAGATCTGAGATAATATAAAGAACACAATAAAGAATGAAAGAGTGTATCTTACCATTTTTTTTTCATAGAACGGTGGCTATGTTACAGATCCTTAAAACCAACAGACTGGTATTTTGAAACGATCTGAGAGATAACACTTAGCTAAATGATATAATATTTACTTGAAACGCGATTAAAAATACATATTCTACTAGATGTCTTGTATATAATATATAAAATTATATTGTAATATAATGTTTACGTGACATCTTGGATACAGTTAAGAAAAAGTGATTGGATATGTTTAAACTAAATTTGAAACTTTACCAAACGACTTAAAAGTATTATGTCTCATTTTGGTTCCAAATGAATACATGTATCGATTGTTCTCATGACCTGAAAACACCATAACAAGATTTTGTGTGAAAAAAGAATATATTTGGTTTTGCACGCAAGCCCTTCAAGTAGAGATATATTTTTAACATTATTTTAAAGATTTATTTTGAACATAAAAAAAGATTTAATCATTGTTTTTTTTAGTAATTTTTTAGCACTCATTTTTTTTAATCAACCCTTTGCAAGGATTTACTTTATGAGAGTATTTTGCGACTTTGGTAAGGTGATTAACTACGTTTAACACTAGAATAAGATATTGGTGATATCATTTAGCATAAATTTCCTATTTTATGACACAATATACAAGTCAGACAAGGAGTTAATCAAAGTATCGAAAGATTGTCAAATAAACCTAAGAAAATGTGTGTTGTTATCAATTGCTGAAGCTATTAATCGCATTACATTTGATAATAAGAGTGATTTGTTAACTCCTGGAGAACGCAGAAACACCACGTCACTTTAAATATTATTATTAATTAATTATACATTTATTTTCATGTGTTTTAGAAAAGATAGCTTTTATGAGATGGTTTAGCGATCTATATGGAGATACAAAAGAGAAAATAATAATGACATTGAATTACAAAAGTGTGTCTCCAAAAAAGTCCAAAGCAAAAGGATTGATGGGGATATAACGTTGGTTAAGCACTATCTCTCCTATAGTAGTGGAGAAAACTCAGAAACTATAAACGAAAATGATCTTATGAATTGAATAGACAATAATGAGAAGATTAAGAACCTGCTGAGTCCACCAGCATTTTATTCAATTCCTAATTGTGTCATTCCAAAAGTAATTGAGCAGAAATAGATTTCAACTATTGCTGAGATTCGTTCATTTTGCTGATAATACGACGGCTGACAAAAGTGATAGGTTATACAAAGTTAGAAATCGAATTGACATGTTGAAGGAACGATTCAATGTCGAATTTGTATGTGCCTGGAGAAATGATAGCTGTTGATGAAACAATGATTCCTTTTCGTGGCCGATTATTATTCAGACAGTACATTCCCAACAAAAGCCACAAGTATGGAGTGAAAATGTTCAAGTTGTGTAATCCAATTGGTTATACATTGAGCATGTCACTGTATTCTGGACAAACATTATTGGACTGCAGTCTGCTGAACTTGCTGAAAGAGTAGCTTTGGAACTTGCAGAGCCATATTTATCTGAAGGAAGGCTTATAGTAGTGGATAACTTTTATACGTCAGTGCCATTGGCAATTTCACTTTTACAGAGAGATACTCGTTTATTAGGTACCGCAAGAAAGAATAGGAAGTACTTACCAAAGGATATCATGACAAAAAAACTAAAAAAGGGAGAAGTTGTTGGAAAGTGGAAGGACAAACGCGATGTTTACTTCCTAAGCACAAAACACACTTTGGAAAAGATGACAACTGGACGAAAAAACAGGTTGGGAGAGGCAGTTTGTAAGCCAGTTGCTATTTCAGAGTACAACAAGGGCAAGCAAGGGATAGACCTTTCAGACCAAATGTCAAGTTTTTTACGCCCTTGAGAAAAACCATCAGAGGGTATCACAAAGTAGCTTTTAAGGTTCTATTGAACATTGCTGTAGTCAATGCGCTTTTCATTTACAATGACTTTCACAAAAGGAAAATTCATATTGCCTCATTCAGGCAGATGCTTGTGCTTGAGATGCTAGGTATTGAAAAGAATGACGTTACACCAAAACGTTCAGATTCCCTGAAGCACAGCTTAGTGCAAAGTGAAGAAAAGGATAACAACAATCGGCGAAAAAGAAGAAGATGTACAAATTGTTACGCAGAAGCTGCAAAAGAAGGACGTTCAGTGGCACAAAAACAAGGAAAATTAGTTTCCACAAGATGTCATGTTTGTGACAAATATATGTCTCTCCCATGTTTTACAAAACTTCATTGAAAATACAAAGATAATTTTTGTAAGTCAAGATCTCATTGCACTTGATCCTGATGATCCTCATGGCACTAAAGTAAAACAGTTGTGTTCTAGTGCCATGAGGTTCACCGGTAAACTCACAAATTTTTTTTGCTTTCTACCCTCATATATACCATTTACATGTAAAAAAGATGTCGTTTTCCAAAAAAGAAACTCTAGTATACCATTTTGTTGTAGTGGCCCCTAGGGAATTATTTAATTGGTTGTAGGGTGACAGCTAACGTGTTAATAAGAAAACGTCTTCCTTCAATCTAGTCAGACAAATAACTAATCTCAAAAATTGTGTGAGAGCTTTGGAAAAGTTGGACGAAACAAGAAAGGATGAACTAGATACTGAATTAGTCGATTATTAGGTATAACACATTTACGGTGTATAATCGATTTATAATAAAATTGCTATTTTCCAGATTGATAGTGTTAAGAATATTGAAACCGCTTCGGACATTGTTGCTTAAGAGACCTTACTTGTGCAATGTGGTCTTTGTGTTGTCTTAACAATCCATAGATACTATTACTTTAATTTAAAAGTATAGTGATTACTTTCGTCCATAATGACTTTGTTTGAGTACCTTCGCTAAAGACGACGGAAAAACATTTTTTTTACATGAGTCTTGTATGGATTAATCAAACAATTAACCTTATAATTGGTTTTTGTGGCATGAATAATAAGATAGAACCTATTATACAATGCTTCTTAGCTTCACAAAAATTAACTATTTTTCAAGAAACACTCTTTTTTTCTTTTTACAAACTGAAATCTTCAGTAAGTATTCATAATACAGATAAATATTATGCCAATCTTTTATTCTTTATCCGATGTTGTTTTGGAAATCATCCTAATTTTATAAATGGAAGGTAAGCAACTTTCCTTTATTTATTCATTATTGAAAAGTACGTCACTTTAAAACAGACCCGAAACTATAACACCGGATATGCATTTCACATTCCTTCAAACTTGTGCAGGCTTACAAAGAGACAATTACATGGCTGCTAGGTTTTGCAATGCATATATATCGCAGAGGAATTTAATTATAACTCCAAATATATATAACTATTTCTATTTCGTAGGGCTTAGTTTTCATATTAATTGATAGAGGTTTTCATTTTTAAAGTTCCGACTGCTGTTATATTTATGGAATTTTAGGCGTAACAAGATTATTACTATCAAGTCATTTTTATAAGAAAATTTTACAATGTTTTTAATAAATGTTATATCAAAAGGCTTTAAAGTCTATTCTTAAAAATGTAGAAGATAATATCTTCAGTTATGATGTTCAGGCTTATGAAGCGATGTTCGTGTTATGCTTTTTGAAGTCGAACTCCTTCGACTACGTCTTTTACATACCACTAATTTAACAAAGTGCACTAATTAAATAAAGTGGTACCAACGCAACGTAGTAATTAATTTAAATGTAAATGAAATTGATTGTAACTCAAGAATGAAACCAGATCTTAAGTATAAGATAACAATATATGTTAGAAGAGTGAGATTTTCAAAGCAAATTAAAAAATTACTAAAAATAATTACATTTATCTTGAAATACCTAATCAACATCTTAAACTACCTTAAAACACTTTTCTGTTATTCATCTCCAAAGCGTTGCCTTATCATAAATGAGAGTTATGAAAGTTTTGGTTCTACTATACAGATTTTTGCATTGAGGTGAACAGTGCAAGAAAGAATTTAAAAAAATTACAAATTAGAAGAATCTCTTTGGAACTATACCTATTGGCTTCAATATACCTGGTTAAAACCATAACGGTGACGATGTTTCCACCTACGCCTATAAAAACCAAAATCGGCACCAAAACCCTTTGTATCCAAAATCTCGATGATTCAACGAATCTTATCGATTGTTCTATATCCAAATCCGTAGAATTCATCGTAACCGTTCTAAAAAAAATTATATTAACGATAACGCTGAAACAAATTAGGATTTTTGCATAATAACAAATCTTTTAATTCTTATAATCAAATCTTATAATACGATTTCAGTTGTAATCACCTATTCAACATTAAAAATAATGTTTGGAAATTGAAAACAATCAGATTTTAACCTGAAAGTATTAGAAAATTATATTCGAAATCCATTCTACGAGTTTTTAATTTTTAGGAGAAATAATAAACAGTTTTTAAAGAACGTTCTAAGTTTTTAAAGTGTTAACGTGATTGTAAGAGCTTTGCTATAAACTTTTATATTTTATTTTAATTTGTAACTTTGAAAAATGTAAAATTGATATTCTATTATTGTGTCCAAAAACTAGTCTCTGAAGATGACGTGAAGCCGAAACTAGTAAGACTCAAGTTTATTATCTAATTAAAGACCAGTTTAAAAGTACAAAAAACATTTTATATTATTTCTCCTGAAAGTATTAGCGTTAAGTATTTTATGAGGTTTTTTAATTTTGCAAAAATAAGTAATCACTTTATCAAAAAAGAATCACGTAATTGTAAAGAAACTACTTTGATAGATTCTTTTAACGTGTCCATTGCTCCAACTGATGATGTTATTTATCATTAATGCAATTTGAGGAACATCATCGGCTATCAAGTAAACCGCAGTTTTGTTTTGTTTTTTTGAAAAATTGAGATATGTAAGTTGGATTCAGAAATAGTGTACAATAATTGATTATCCATATTTGGCCACCGAATTGGTGTTTGCTTTTTTTCAGCAGAAACGCTATTGAAGTAAAAAAGCCGAAAGGGTAATTTTGAATTTAAAGTGTCTGGTCATAGCTCATTATTCAATTATTATGCGCCATAACATTACTTGTAAGGTGCTGTTTAGGCAAAGTTGTTGATTTAGTCATTAAAAGCAGTACTACCTACACCGTGAATATGTTGAGTGTTATAGCGAACATAAATATAATTGCATTTTGTTCAACTAGTTGCTTAACTTTTTCAAGTGCGTTTATTGGTGTAACATATGTTTTGACCGCAGTAGTGATCCTGATCATGAAAAGTTTTCCCCAATCATTGAGGAATTATATGAGCCTATATGACGGTGGGTATGTTGCTGCTATTTTATGAATTGAGATCAATCCAGCTGTTTCCACATCTTAGAAGAATTTGTGTGGATCTATACAACCTTCGAGCACTTTATATGGTCTAGGTGTTATAGTTGTTCTTAATACTGCATCTGCAACCATTACTTTAAACATCCTTAGTAAAGCAGTTTCATTTTTAAGAATAATTCATTCAAGCATTTATAATTTCTTGATCTGGATAATTGTGAGTTTTTTAGTAGCAATTTTTAGACATCGCCCCTAATGACTCCAGCCAGCCAGTCAATTAGTACTTCTCAAGTTCTTCTTGGCTTTCTTTTTAGCATACTAAAATTTGTTATTTTCTTATTGTCAACACTATTATTGATTTTCGTGATTTTTGTCACTTCCTATCATTGTGTCTATGTAAGTCTGCAGCCCACCTCTATGCTATGTTAGAATTAATCACATTGAGTATCATTTTCGCTGACCGGCTTGTAAGGATAACCATGTTATGCCGCTTTCTATTATTCTTAAGCTGGTCTCCCATCTCTTCCTTGCGTACTTTGGAAATGCTCCAATTGCTCTGTTGCATTTTTACCAAATTGATGTTTAAAAATAAAAAATTTGAGTTAATTTACCTCATAGCAATGTAGCAAGATGGTCATAAAAACAGTCCATTTGTATTTTGATTTCATTTCTTTCTTTTCTAATTATTACTTTTAGAAGATTTATTTATTTGTATTTTTATGTTGTGCGTTGGCAATGTTACCTATATATATTATATTAATGCGTCCAACTCCCTATCTGGAGCATAGGGCATCGACAAACATCCTCCGACCTCTCCTCCGTGTCATCAGCTTTACTTCTCCCAATGTCCATCATTGTCTATTCAACTCCTTCGTCATAGTCCTCCTCCATGTTGTCCTGGATTTTGTTATTCGCCGGCTGCACTGTGGATTCTAGTCTAGTGCCAATCTTTATTCGTAATGTCTTTCTAAAATTTATATTTTGGATCATCGTCTATGTTTCCCTTCCGTACAATAAGATACATTTAATGTTGCTGTTTAATATGCGAAACTTGATTTTTCTCGATAGTTGGGAGAAGTTCCACATTTGTCTGGCTTTCTTTATTCTTTGCACCACGTCTGCCTCTGTTCCTGCGTCTTTTGTTACCATACTGCCTAGGTAGCAGAACTGTTCTACCTGTATGTTATCGCTGTTTATTGTACCTACCTGGTAGTGCGTTGTCTATGCATTGCTGATGTTTCCTTTGTATTTATCTCTAGCTCAGCTTGCCTGCACCATTCTGTTATTTTATTTAGTTTTGTTTGCATGTCTGCATGCCTATGCGACAGAAGACACATTCTAAATCATTTAGTTTATTTACGAAGTCCCACTTTACGCTGTTTTATGCAAAATTTACATTTTCCAGAACCCCATCTAGTACAATATTGAAAAGTAGAGGTGGTAGCGGGCATCCTTTATTTACTTAGGTGCGCCAATTCAAAAGAAGGTACTGCATAGGGGCAAGTTTAGTAACCAAATAACAGTCTAAACAGGAATATTACCCAATTGGTGATTTATTTCAGTTTTTCTACTTCATCATTACATCTTCTGATCGCTGATCTATTTGTGATTTTATTTCTACAACTTTCTGTCTGAAGAGTTCATATTTAGTGTTTCATCCCAAAATCAGAATTTTGTTCTTTTCTGAACAGAATAGTAAGTTTACGTTGATCTTGCTTTTTTGAGTTTCCATTTATAAACATATTTTTTGCATAAACTGTCTCAAGTCACTTTTAAAGCTTGGTGTACAACAAAAGCTAAATGTTGCTATCATTATATGTTTTCTGGACAAAGTGGGTGAAGAAAGTTCAGGATTTTACTTAAATAGTTTCGAACATACCTAGAAACCTAAGTTTTAACGTAACGTTATAAATAATAGTTCCAAGCTCTAAAATGCTTTCCAATGTTTATAATAGTAATAATTAAGTGACGTAAATTATGGCGCCAAATTAAGGTCATATTTCCGGGTTGTATATTAACGTAAAAATATAATTCAAATTTTTGTCCAATTAATCAATTTCTATTTTTATACTAGATGGAATATTTTTTTGGCCACTTGCTGTTAAAGTTATGGTCCTTGATTTTAATTGGCGGCAGTACAAAACACAGTGCTATAAAAGTTATAAATAATCATTATTTTATAAACAACAACAAAAATTTATTGTGATTTGAAAAAAATAAATCAAATTTTTGTTGTATCCAAAAAGTGGTATTTTGTAGTAAGTAAAAATTGATGTTTTGAATTATCCTGTACATTGTTTTTAACCATACAATTGTTTTAAATCTAACCAGTTGTTTCATTACGAATGGCAATATGTGATAATTATTTTTATCAGTTGTTAGTGTATATAAAAAAATATGCGTGTATAGGATTTTTTATCAAGGATTAAAATCGATTCCATTAAAACATCACGTTTTGTTTGTTTACGTGTAACTTTTTTCTTTTTTGCAATTAACTTAAAATTGAATTTTATTAACACGACCAATAAGACAGGAGGTAATAAAACATCTCAAATTGAGTCTGACTTCCGTTTGACGTCAGCCATAAATAAGTTATGTTATCCTGAAAATAAACTCCGAGTTTTGTTACTAAACCGAAATTTTATTTGCGATAACTATTTTATCTTATCCCTAATATTACATATTAAAAATTACTTACAAATTTTCCATTGTTTTCTTTTTTCTTTTCCTCGGATAATTTTTAATTAAACTTCCTCAACCTGTTGATAGCTTCTTCTAGTTTTTTTTCTACCCATTTTTTTAATCTCGTTTAAATTACCCGATCAATTTTAAACTTAATAAAAACGCTGGAAATTTTAATTTTCAATATCCGACGGAACAATTCCAAAATAAAAAAAAACACGCTTGCGGCTAATCGATGCGTGGGTGTTAATAAATTAACGATATCTTTTCCGGATGAGTTATAAATATTCCAGTAACGTGCTTCCACCGATGTTTCGATCTACCTGAAAACGATAATGATTTATTGCGATTTTTTTTGAGATAAGAACCCCAACCATAATATTACTCCATTAACAAAAATAAATTAACATCACTAAAAATAGAAACAGTTAATATAAAGCTTTTTTTTAAAGAAAGTAAAATTCAATTCGATACTTCACTTTGTAGTGATGTAAAAAAAATATACACTTCGATGGTCACGTGTAATTTCAATACCTGAATAGAAATAGGATTTCAAACACTGGATTACTATTTACGCGTTGAAAGGATGTAATTTATTCAACGCTTTTGCGTCCAAGATTGGAATTCGTACGTATTTGAATTAGTTTTTAACTACGACGCTTGTATCTTAAAGATTGGGTTATTTATAACTATTTTAGAAGATTTTGATTTTTAATTTTAAGCTATCGTATATTTATTTTTGTTATAGAACGTGTAACAAAGGAATTTTTATTGATCAGCTATCATCGACGATTTTTGGCACATAAAATAGGATTTGTTTTAAAAAACAGACATTTATTGGTTTACATTAAACAAAGAAATGTGTGCGGGGTGTTTCAAAAATAGAGGAACTGATAGATTTTATTTCTATTCGATTTTTATGATTTAAATAGCTAGAAGATGTTAGAAAATTGTAATTGATCTAAAAATAAAATAAATTGTAAAACGAGGCAAATTCGTTCAGATTCAGCCAAAAATAAAATAGAAATTGAATGACAACAGGTCAAAGAAAAGTGGCTCTAAATATATTGCATCACTGAATGAAGTTATAGAAAACTCGGAAAGGCAAACGAAAGCAAAAGGAGCCAACGAAAACTCTATGTAAATTTGGCGACTTTATCTCTTTTCTGGCATATAGATATACCTATTTTATCAAACAAGAAAACTTTGAAAAAGTAATCGAAAAATGGGAAATGATTTGACTTCTGTTCACCTTTATAAGCTAGGGAAGTCAGAAAGATGCTTGTGTCTTTTCTGTACTCTTTTTTGCCTTCTGCGACCCTTTTATGGCTGAACTTTCTAAGTAAGTTAAACAGGTTAACAGGATGAAAGAAGAAAGTCAATATAATGTAAAAAACATAGACTTAATATCTTATTCGTGGCTTAAATTTTTGTAAAAATGACAGAAATCATGCAAAGAAAGTCACAACAACGGTTAGCGTCCTATCAAAGCAAGAAACAATAACATCCAATATCCAATAACATGATAGAAAAAGTCAGAATGAAATTTGATTTCCCTTTGTATTATTTCTGCCTTCTAGCTAGCATAAATACTTAAAAGAAAAACAACAGGAATCTAAAAAGGAATCTTATTTTGTACAAATACATATTTGTTAGTTTACTTTGTTAAACACATTGATTGTTTTTGCCAACTCGGCACTCGATTTTGATGACTTGTATCAACATCAACTTTTCAGAGGAGATTACTGTTCTTTAGGACCTAATTTGAAGTTATATGCAGAAAGTTCACTGCTTATGGTGGTTACGATATTTTCTTCCTCAATTTGCTCAAAGCAACCTTTTATTCTTTACAACCTCATTATGCAAAAAAATACAAAAACTATAAAACAATTTTCTGTGTTTCATATTTGACATGGATGGGTATTGTTATATTTCAAGTCGTATTATACCTCTTCCAAATAGCTATCGCTTGGTTCCTTGGCAAATTATATGTAACAGCTTTAACTTTTTGTATTGTATAATCTGTCTGCATAGTCTCAAGCTGATCTCCCCCAGGAATAATCTCTATCATGATGTCTCTCTCAGAAAAAGGAATCTCTCAACCTGCAAGGTGAGTCTTACTCAGCTAGTCCCTTCACGACATATATTGCCAACAAATTTAATTATGTTCTTTGATTCTTAACTATTTTCAATTACTTTCAACTTCACCAGCTGTGTTTTTTGAAAGATATCCTCTTGGGAGATAAAATGACCCATTTGTCATAGTATAATAAGTACTGTACTAATATGGTATTATTATTAATATCGATACCATTATGTTATATTAATTAGAGCGTTAGTTTCAGACCTCTAAAGTGTGTTTCTAGAAATTAATATTGTTTTAAAACTTAATTATCTACAGCGCCAAATAGAATATTATGATTTGTTATCGACTTTTATTTATTGTCAAGTTACAGTGTTAACAATCAAAATAACATACAATTGTAATTAAACAATTTGCATTGTGATAAAGAGACAATTGAGAGGTACAAATTGAAAGTACATAAAAAGTGTACCACAGCTTTCCTACTTGGAGACCCTGATTAATGACAATAGGGATATTCTCAGGAGATAATGTGCAGAATATAGAAAGCAATGGCCGTCTTCAACCAGATGGCTAAACTGTTTAAAAAACACTACCTCAGCTTTGATAGCAAAGTCAGACTCCTCAAATGCTATGTTATCTCGGTGGATTGGAATCGTGAATACTAACCGAGTTAACACAAAGAAGACTCAAAGCTTTCGAAATCGAAGGATTATCTGTAATATCAGGTAGACCAGGTAGAAAAAGGATATCATGTCATAAAAACTTATGGACATGGTTCTAAAAAACGACTACTGAATTATTCAGAGTAGCAGTGAATAACATCATATCCAGGATGATCACCAATATTCGAAACGAATAGACACTTGAAGAAGAAATAAGATTCAAAAAAAGCTTTTGTTATAAAATTATTAACTAAATATAAAAATTACCATAATCTAGAATTCAGTCTAATACAGTTACTTTATCGGATAATTGTAGTGTTAGCTACACACGTGGCATGTTAATTAGCTGTGTTACGAAGAATTAAATAACAAAAACTTTCAATTAGTCTTTCAAACTGCTTTCAAAGTTATCCAAATTTAATTTAAAAATTTAAAAAACTAATCAAAAAGTACATATAATCTTTTCTTTGGCTCTAAAACTTAATTTTCTATCTAAGATTTTCGATTGGCACAGTGCCACCAAAACACTTTGTAAAATGAAAATTAATTAGAAACTAATTGAAAATGAACGTTTTATGGTAATAAAAACTAATTTGTCGAAGATATCGTTCAAAATGTTTATAATTAAGATCAATTAAAAATTAAAACTTTTTTGAGATTATTTTGAAAGTTTTTTTACCAAATTGATTTTAAGAAACCATTAAAAACGGCTATAATATTTAAGAAATTTTATAATCACCCTTATTCGTGTCAAGGATCCAATTAAAATCAAACCAACCCACTTTATGTTCAATAAAACCGCATTTATTTACGTTTCGGAACCTAATCAAAACTACAAATATAACTTGAAACGCTTAAAAACTTGACGTCATTTTTAACAAAAACTTTATGATCGCCACTTTTTGTACGAGAAAATTACTCGTCAGATTCAAGAGCCAATTTTTATACGACATAAACCAATTTATTTTTAGAATAAATTTTTTTGTACGTAACGGAACAAACCCCGAAATTGAATGAGAACTGGGAAATGAAGGAATAATAAATCAACAAATAATTAGATTCTGTTTGTTTTAGTCATTTAGTTTGAATGTTAAATTAGGTACGACATGGAATAATTTATTTTCTTCAGGAAATGAGCCATTTAGCACCTCGGCCAATGTCTTAAAGATTCTAAACAGACCCAATTAAGGGACCCCTTCATATTGCCTACTACTTCTGGGTACGAAATTGCTTTCGAACAAATTCAAACAAGGTCAAGAAGCTATAAAGAAACATCAGGCTAAAATAATAGAAACAATATCTATGTATTTTGTTCTTATATTTTGTTATAACGAATGAAATTTAAATTAGAATAAATTTGTAAAATTAATAAAAATTTGAAAAATTAAGAAAAAGGATTAAGATAATACGTTGTGGGTTCTATTTTTAGTTGATGGGGTGAAATTTTATTTTTATAATACCTTTCTGCACTATGAATATCTCATATTAAGCTGCATTTTACACAATATTAGCGAGTGGCACAATGCGTAATAGGGATTAAAACAACGACAGTTAGTCAGTACAAATGGAAATACAAGGACAGTTGGTTGGCACAGGGGACTTAAATACAGAAACATAATCAGATACTTTAAGCTGGACAGAAAAGAGACGTTCTACTAAAAAATTCAGTAAAAAGAGCTAAAACTGAAGTTTTGCGATAAAAATTGACAACCAACTCGACCAAGTATTTCTCAGACTTATAATGACCGATAAAGTCTATTGCTGATTCGAAAAGGAAAAAGAGGATTCAACATCGCCAAGCGTGCCAATTAATTTGGAAAGGAATGATTCAATCGTTTCATAAAATAACTATACCTGTTTTAAATAGATAAAGAAAAAATAAACATTGAAAAGCAAAATAGTCTCCATTGACTCAACGGTTGTGATCTGTTTTAACTCTCCTGAGTTGCTTAACCATACGGTGTATATCGAATAAATTTCTTTTCTTCATTCAAGTTTTATTTTGGCGTTTCTAAGTATTGGTTGGAGATAATTAGAATTACCATAACGGGATAAAAATCCTTTAAAATGTTCTCATATTCTCTGAAAATTGTTCTGGGAATACTGTTTTGGAAATTGTTCAAAAGTTATTCTCAATCGGGTTGAAGATAAATGTGTTCTAAGAATGTCTTTATTTAACACTTAATTCAAAATTTGTAAGTGTATTTAAATAACATATATTTGTTTCTATTAATTCAGTTTATTAATAGTTTGTGGAATAGAAGTCTCAACATTTTAATAGCATTCAGAGAAATATTGATTGCCAAATAATAATGACAGCATATCTGTGCAAATTGTTATCTGTATTATTGTAGTATGTGTTTAGGAATCGATTGTCTTTCAAGTAAAATTAAGGTTAAATAAAAATTTGTTAACTGCAAATTGGAAAACTTCCTAAGTATGGTCATAGAATGACACGCAACCATACTTATTTTCAAAAATAGTTTGTACACAACTGATCAATGTAGTACATACAGTGCAGATCATAGATCACTCTTTTTAAATCCAAACTTTCCCTAACTCTGATGAGAATTAT